TTCGACTTCAATTGTAGCGCCTCGTAAATATTTAGCTATTTTCTAAACGGAAGACTGAACAGAAAAAAAAATGTGTTCGTGTGTACCTATTGATGTCGAGATGAACGAGCTCTCACTCGAATTCTTAGGATTTGGAGGATTAGAGGGTGGCACCCCTAATGAAAGCAATGTTACGCACGTGTCTAATAACCGACATGGGCGATGTTTGTATAGAAGTTTTCTCGAACCCTACATGTAGTTTTTGCTTGAGTCTTTGCAGTGTATGCTAATTATACCTGCTTAATTAATATTTATAAAAAGTCTTTTATTCAGTTTCGATCAAGGTTTTGATTGGAGTCGGTAATCTCATCTTTTCATACCCGGTTTTGAGGATTTTGTAATTACTTTTAGACAAATATAGCCGTTACCGTTTTCATAATACGTGTTAGGTCAGGAAAGTTATCAGACCTAACCTTATTTTTTTAAATGGAAAATCATGTGTATTTTGTTCTCAAACCAGGTGCCAATTTCTTGACAAACCAGATATTAAAAAAAACGTTTTTGAGAGTTTAAAACGTTAGTTTTTTAAATTTGACATTTTTTTCTAATAAAATCTACCATAATTTTTATAGGTTGTACGCAGAAAGAGAGTGTTTCGAATAATTTAATAAAAATTACGCGTTGCTATTTGAACAAAAAAAGTTTGATGTTCCAAATTTTTTTTTCAAAAATCCGCCGAGCAGTTATCTGGGAATAGTAACGGGCGATCAAAAATGAGTAGCTGTCGAGTCGCCTTTGGAAGTTCAAGTTAAGTACGATTTCTCATGCAAACAAAAATTCCAAAGGTAACTCGACAGCAACTCATTTTTGATCGCATAGTACATACCTAACTCAATGGTACATACACACAAAGTTGTATTCTTTAAATGTTTTTTTTGACATATCCAAAAAACGGCGATCTCAATGCCACCTAGCTGAAGCCAGGAAGCTAAAATTAGTATCATTTTTCTCAAAAATATAATCGAGATAATACAGAAAATTTAAAAAAAAAACGGGCAGATTATGTATCAATCATTATGAAGAAACTTTTGTTATAAACATTTTGCTTTCCAATTCAATCCATGATATATAAAAAAATAAAAAGTTCAATCTGAAATTGACAATTTTTTGATTTTCTCCCATAAGCGAGCAAAAATGTTCAAATTTTGGTTTTGGTATAAGCATTTTAAATCACTATACAAAACGAGGCTTTGTTTGATGCTGCAGCCACGGGCACCATTGGGATGTTATCGCTCTTGTTTGTAACCGAGTTGGAAGCGAAGGGGTCACTAGTCGTCTAAATAGCGTTCACTATACTGTATTCATTTTAAGAAGGTAGCGGTAGAAAGTATAGGGAAGCTTTGACGTTCAATGTGATTGGCTAAAACACGAATCAGTATTACACTGAAACATAAAACGAGTGACAAATTTTGTAAGCTGGTAGTTTATGTTGCCAACTAAACTGCCGAAGTATCATTAGCTGTTAATGTTAAAGATTTATAAGATTTATTTCTGTTCGCAATACTGAATATTTCTTCTTTACAATAATGTGGTGCCATTTTATATTTTTCCTGTGTGTGTTTATCTTCAAACATAGCGCCATCTACTACCTTCTTATAATGAATGAAGTATAAGCCCGCCACTGTAACACACGATCCCATGTTCTGTGTAAGATCAAAATATGTGATGTGATGTGTAACAATGCTAAATTTTATAAAAATCGCTCCATAAATTAAAAAAAACGACGAGTAGATGTTGCAGCGTAACACAACTGCAACTGTAAATAATGAGTAACGGGCAAATATAGACCATAGTAGCTATCAATTAGCGAGAAGCAAATACTCTCAATAGTAATACGCGCAGCTTTTGACAGTTTGCATATATTATTTAGGCAGCCATGGGGCAGCCTAAAGTCACTAAATATAGAAAGTAGCGCAATCCATTGGGCTCGTGTGTTAGAGAGAGAACGTATGATTTTTGCCCAAAAATGGCGGAAGTTACTAGAATCTAGTAACTTTAATGTTAGGGATTGTTCCTCGGATTGTTCCACCTGCTTGGAGATATCTATATATATTTTTATCATATATGTATATAGGTATGTATGATTTTTATAAAACATGACAGTACTATGAAATTAGGTTATAAAAAATTACAGCTATTCAGATTTTATTTGTCAATTTTTTTAAGTTGGCAGCAAATTTGCCCAAAAATGGCGGATGATTGCGGTACTTTCTATATCTAGTGACTTTAGGGCAGCCGCTAAAACAGCGCCATCTAGTAGAATACACGTAAAATATTTAATAAAAAGGTAGAACTAGGGAAATCAAAATGCAATTGTGTGTGATTTTCTTTAATTGTACATTTTCAGATTTAATTTTTCTTCTTAAGTGTTCTCTATTTTTTAATTTTTTTGATTTATAAAAGTCTTAATTAATACATTTAAATATTTATCTAAAAATAATTTACAACATTTCCCATACCTATATTGTTTAACACCACAATTTAATATTAGCTTACCATTTGCTACACTTTCTTTTAACAATTTGGTAATGTTATTTTAAAAATTAAGTTTATCAGATCGGATGCTTTTTTGGCCATTTCATTGGGAAAATACATCCTTGATAACTCTGTATTTTTTCATTTCATTTTGCGTATTAACAATATCGAAATTATTGGGCAGGCTACAGAGGGCATCTCTATATTGCTGCATTGTTCATGTGGCAACCTGCACACTCAGCCCAATACGTAACACTCAGAATTTTTTGGGGCTAAATTAGCATTGCTACTTATACAATAAATATCAGGTTTTTCAGAAGGGTGAATAGAAATACTAATAGTTTTAGCTCTATTTCTTGCTTTTACAGTAAAAGGGTACACGCTATTACTGTCAGCTAACGGTTTCAGTAACGGATTAGCCATGACAGACCTCAAATTACAGCGAAATTTGACCCTGTCTGGAGTAACATTATTTGCCTTATATCTTATAAGTAATGCAAAATAAATGTTCAATACAATCTAAAATCTTGTGTAAGTCGACGAGTAAATAACATTTCAAAACATGACAAATCTTAGGTAGTTCTCAACTCTTGCCACTAGAGCGCTAGTGTAGCATGGTTGCCAAATTTTGGGAGCTGGTCGAGAAGTGGACGCAACCCGCCACTCTTTTGGAAGTAGACGATCGTTTTAGTCACGATACACTTACACACGGTATGCTCATTATTTTTCTCAAACGCGTTTTCTACTGCGCATTACGTCACCTGCGAACATGTGGCGCCAAAATTCAAATGTTTACGCCAGGACCGAACTAGTGGTACACATGTCACGCGTGACAGTTTTGCAACTTATAAGTATCTTGTATCTACGAGGTTTAGCGTTAATTTGTTGATAGCTAATTAATCATTAGTGAAATTTCCAAAATGCCAGGTTCTGTAGTGGCTCAATGGGGCAATTCTAATAGAAAAACAAAACGAACGGAAATAAAATACTTTCGATTTCGGAAAATTGAAAACTTTTCTCAAAAATGGATTGTTGCAAGTCGTCGTAATGACAAAATTAACTTGAAAAATGGTGTTACATTAATATTAAGTGGTGTATTTAAGTCTTTCCATTGCTGTTTAATTCCATAGCCTGTATTTGCTCTGAACATGTTGAAGCCAGCCGTTTTGAAGCACCGCTAAGGGAACGATTTCTTAATTAAACCTACTTTTAAAAACAGCGGACATTTGAAACCTGATGCTTTACCTACTTTAAAACTACCACGTAATAATGAAAATCAAAATAAAATGGAAACGGAAGAGAAATTCCATCTTTTAATAAGGCATTAATTACATAATATTTACTGAAAAAGCCGCACTTCATGTTTAGGGCCAATATTTTTGATTCGAGTTTATTTCATACGATCACCAAATCACAGGAAATACCCGCCGCGACGATCTCTACTCAAAATCAGTGTGATTTGTCGATCTAAGAAGCGAAATTTTGCTCTATATTCTGTGGTTTTGTTCGCACGTGACGTCACTCTAGATGCGCAAGAGCATACCGTTGTAAGTGTATCGTGGTTTTAGTGAATCCTAGACCATAGAGGAGCACGAGTAAATCAACATCCTCTCCAAGGATGATGACGTGGTACTTATTTTTGGCCATATCGCGGTCTGGGTCTTCTTTGACTGTTTTTGTCTCAATCCCCTCGAGAGCAAAAGCAGAATGCTCAATGAGACGAACCCTGTTTTTGTCATTCGAGAGAATCTTCTCTTGGAGTGCTGTAATGCAACCTCCACTGATGCTGCATAATACCGTCGTGATCGCTCTGAAAGTTTGGTGCTCTTTTGGGCGCCATCCTCAGGCTACTCATCAAAAACTGTGATAGCCCGCACTGAATCATTGCGATGCCACACGACTTTATGGAGGAAGTAACTAATAGTAGTAGTGACTAATAACATTGGTACTTACTTACAATGTATTCAACTTCGATTTCCCCCTTCTCCAAAATTCCCAATATTCGTGTGGGTTAGAAGAAAGGAACTTGCGATTTTGTGGAGAATGATGAAAAAAAATTTCAAATGCGAAAATTAGCTGCTCAACCAAATTGTAATTTAAAACAGAGATTTTTAGGGCGTATTAATTAGATATCTAAATAAAGTAGACGCATTTTACCAAACAAACTACAATAACCAGAAGAAGGTCTGCGTTGCAGATCGAGGTGTAAGTTAAGACATTCTGTTAATTGATCTGTTATTAGCTGCCTTCTAAAAATACAGCAGTGGGATATTTATTTGTGAAGTTGTCAAGAAGCTATTGCCCTCTTTCAACAGATGCAAGTAAAAAAATAGGAACAAATGTTGTAAGAAATATAAGATTTCAATTTTTTCTGTTTTCTTGAACAACTGTACTGTACATCTGCATTGTTGCGTTTTTGTCACCTATTTGCTATTTAATGCAGGAGAACTTTATCACAGTCACTACAAGAGTATGATTTGTTTCAGGTAACGGAATGTGGATCAAACCGGAGCATTTGCCTACAATCGTGTTGGTCATAAACTTCGCGACCGCACAGGACATAAACGCACCAACACCGAACACTCCATATGACCAGTTTGATCGCAATATTCCTTACAACGATCCATTCAACAACCCTTCAACGAGCAATCCGTACAATCCATTCACACAGTCGCAGTATCCAGGGGGTAGGTTTGGACAAGATGATCCGTACAATTCCCAGTTCACACCGCTCCCTAATTGGCGACAAAACGATTTTGGATACGACAGAAAGCCCTACCATCAGTCTATTATTAAGGAAACGTAAGTTTGTTGCATTCGGGTTTGGGTGTCAAAAGTTTTACTTTCAGAACATATTTTGTTGTTGCATCGCGCATGGTGAGACCTAGTCAATTGTATCGCGTTGCCGTTACAGTGTTAAAAGCGAAACAGCAGCTCACAGTTCGGGCCTCTATCCAACGAAATGATGTTGAGGTCTCTAGTGACCACAAGAATATTACCGTTGGCATTCCAGAAACTTTGCTTATGGAGGTAACTATCATTTAGCATTTTTTTTCCTTATTTGGTTGTGTACTACAGGCACAGACAACATATACCTACTAATGTTGTCTGTGCTACAGGTAATAGAAGTGTGAGTTTTGTGAGTGTGCATAACAAGCCATGTTTTTTATGGGGCTTTATTGAAACTTACCTTAGATAATCGTTTTTTATATTAAAAATTAGATGGAAGTATTGCACCTCTTCAAACAGATCAACTGGGACTTTGCATGTTTACAATTGTTACATACTTCTTCCTTTAGAAAGAGTGAGAGAATAAAAAATGCGCCTAGTTAGAAAATGCAAATTTAAAAACTATGGTTGAAACCATTGAATGTAATTAGAAATTTGCATCAATTTTTTTGATTATCTATGTAGTTTTTGCATAATACATAACATTGAAATTGAATTATTTATTATTGATGTTAGGGATCTTCCTTTTATACGTCACGTTTGACTTAAGAAAAGATCCTGCTAGGAGCAAAAGAAAATATTTTAGGAACATTAAAGAGAAGCAAGAAGACAAATTTCGAAAAAATCTTTTATCAACATCCAACACGTTGATTTATCATTTCAAAAATCCTGTATATCTTAAAACTGTTTTTCCAGTTTTTCTATAGGAATAATATTTTTTATATTCGTTTATTAAAATATAAGTCTTCCCAAAAATTTTGCTACCCCGCGCTCCTCTGTACGATGGAAAAAATATATTTTTCATCCCCTTGAAAAAGAGGTGGTTTTTTTCAGAAATCATGAGATCTCGGAAACTTTTAATTTTATAGCTTTAATGTAAATTTAAATCTTCACAATTTGACAATTGATTACTAACAATTATTTGAAACATAATAATTCCTTTGCGCGTTACTTTACGGGCACAAAATTGTCTCCTTTTTTATCATAAAACAAGCTATGTTTTCTCCAAATTTCAAACCCCTACGACTTTTTTTCGCAAAAATAAGAATAAAAAACGAAAAAACAGCTTTTCCGGTTTTTTTAGGAAAATTGGAGGTTATGTGAAAATAGTGCAGATACAAAAGTCGTTGATTTTTTTATTCTCTGTAACTTTGAACATTTTAGCCTAAAATTAGTAGTTTTGCCACAAATTGCAAAACACCACTTTCAACCCCCGGGATTTCATCTGCGGAAAAGTTCACTGTTTTAATTATTTTTCCCTAATTTCTAATCATTTCACTTCCATGAAAAACCTAGTTTGAACCGGTAACTAATTTTTTTGTCAAAAAATGTTATATATACATTGAATACAGGGTGGCCATTTGAAAACGAAACAGAGCCTATTTTGGGGACCTCAAAACATTTACGAAAAAATCCTCGGACCCGTCAATTTTTGATCCAAGGGGGAACCATTTTTTTGCTAGTTTCGCCCCACTGGGGGCAAAGCCATAGCGGGGGTGACAAGTGCCCCCAAAATTTTAAATCGAATGGGGGGTCGAGTGATACCTTATTTTGAAGGTATTTTTATGTAGATTATAACTCTTAAGATTTAAATCAGTTTTTAAGTGCTTAAAGCTAAAATCAATCAAGTAAATGTTGGAAATGTTGGCCTTCGACTTCCATACAATAATACAGGTTTTGTTCAAACCTTTCCCGTACATTTTGCAAAACTTCTGGGGTGATTTGACGACATTCATCAATTATTCTTTGTCGCAAGTTCTCTAGCGACGTTGGCTGACTAGCATAAATTTTAGTTTTTAAATGTCCCCATAAAAAAAATCTAACAGACTTAAGTCCGGGGAACGAGGAGGCCATTCAATAGCTCCTCTTCTTCCAATCCATTGTCCTGGAAACGTTTGGTCCAAATATTGACGAACCCTTGCAGCATAGTGGGGTGGCGCACCATCTTGTTGAAATACTATACGATTTTCCAAGTACTCGTTGTTATTTTCTAGTATCTCCACTAATGCTGGATGAATCGTATTTTCTAATAACTTCAAGTACATCTCTCCTGTTAGATTGCCAGGTAAAAAGAAGGGGCCTACGATATGGTTACCAAAAATGCCAGCCCAAACATTCAATTTTTCGGGACGTTGTGTATGCACCTCACGAAATATTCTGGGATTTGAATCAGCCCAATAGCGACAGGTGTGTATTTGTCACTACTATTATTTGACAACAACAATTGACAAGCACTATTAAACTTCAAAATGTTGCTATAGTAACGCTCTCAACAATAACCAAGATTTCCGTTGCAGAATTGGCATAGCCACCTACAGGTATTAAAAAGAAAAAAAAACAACAACAAAAAGTACGGTTCAGAATGTAGGAGAACAACATTTTTTGTATTTACTGTTGTATTAATTTTTGTTATTTAACTAATTCATTTACAAGCATTTTTTTCATAAGAAAATGTTGACACGTTTTTAACTTTTATTAGCCCCTGTATCGGCTAGGCAAATTAGTAGCGATTTAAAACTTAAGGGTTATAATCCACATAAAAATACCTTCAAAATAAGGTATCACTCGACCCCCCATTCGATTTAAAATTTTGGGAGCACTTGTCACCCCCGCTAGGGCTTTGCCCTTAGGGGGGCGAAACTAGCAAAAAAATGGTTCCCCCTTGAATCAAAAATTGACGGGTCCGAGGATTTTTTCGTAAATGTTTTGAGGTTCCCAAAATAGGCTCTGTTTCGTTTTCAAATGGCCACCCTGTATAATAGCTTATTCAATGGTACCACCCTACCTAATTAGTAATTACTTATAATGAAAGTCCGCATTCTAACATTAAATCTGAAATTAATTACTGAGGTCATTAATGTGCCTAAAATTACCAGATCCTTATATGGAGCTAGGTAAAGTTTGATTGTTTATTATGTAAAGATAATGGTCCTTAGAACAGTTCTTGTTGTTTTCTTATTAGATTAAACTACATTTTTTACTTTATTTATTGTTCCTTATGATCTTACATTTCAGATTGATCCTCCCTTACATAATATTGTTATTGGCATTGAATAAAAGCTTATTCAATATTTTAATCTAGTTTATTCAAACTCAAAGCGCTTGCCAAAAATCTGGCAACGTTGGAATTTTAAAGAAGTAAAGAAATCTGCAAAGTCGGTAACTAGCTTTAAATTTGTGGTTCACTTTCCCCCACAACAGAGGGACGACAGAATCCTGGGCAGATTTTCTTATTTCATCAGTTAACACGGGCGTTATACTTCTTTAAGGTGCTTATTCAATGGCTTGAAACCATATATTTTAATTTTGCATTTTGCGGTATGATTGACACACCAGATAAAAAGTATCGCTTTGCCTCAAAATAGGGTGTTTAGGCAACACATCATATCTTTTCATTGAACTATATACAGTGATATTCATGTAGAAGTAGAGATAGGAATTTCCTATGTCTACTTTACATGATGAAAAGTCTCCTCAGAGACGCCTAATTTTATGCAACCAAAGTAACTACCTACAACAAATGAAGATCTGCCTGTCATATTAATTAATTTGAATATTATCACTTTGACTTCCCTATTCTAATTTCGGTTCATGTGCGATGTATTCAACTAAAGAAAAAGTTGATATTTCCAATTGGTATAGTGCCGATAACAGTTAAAGGAGCTTAAGAGATTTATTTTCTGTGAAGCTAAAGCGACAATATTCAAATTAATAATTAATATGACAGCCAGATCTTTATTTGTTTCAAGAAGTAATTTTGGTTGCATAAAATTAGGCGTCTTTCAGAAGAGTTTTTATCATGTAAAAGTAGACATAGGAAATGCCTATACGAAATCCCTATGTCCCCTATGGCAATGCAGTTATTCAAATCGACTGCGCGTCCACATACGGATTTTCACTAATTTACGATACTCCTCAAATTTGTTTCTCTTTTGGTGTTTAGTTTTTTTTATAGTACCTGTCAAACGTTAGTTATTCTCAGAAGAAAGATTTTCCATTTACTATAACCGGTGCATTTCGTAAATATAATTATTATTATTATTTAATAAAGCTCATTATTATTAATTATGTTTATTATATCACAACACTATACAATCTACATTAATTTAAACGAGCTAAAGGCAAATTCAAAGTGGAAAACACAAACGTAATACACCCAAAACTCAATACTGTGCCGTGGTTTATAACAATCGATCCTTCCCACTCCGAGGTCACGCATTCCAAAGAGTCAGGCGTACAAGAACACTTCATTCTGCTGTGTCGGTCTATGGCTGTCATTTTAAGATCGATAGCGTGCTTCTTCGATTTGGCAATTTTATGTTTTTTCGTTCGACGATTATTCCTAACCGTGTAGGAATCGTCCTTAGTGCGAAACTCCTTATTTCGATACAGAGTATTATTTACGTAAGTTCCATGACGAGAGTAATTGAGCAACTCGTATTGCTGCGACACGTCATTATAAAATATTATCGCGTGTCTCGGCGAAACGTAATTGCAATTTCCAAATTTTTGTAAATGAACATCATTGTCCACACCTATTCCAATGGCCATGGTGTGATAGATCATCAGTGTCGCTTCGGGAAACCTTTCGGAAACCGAAGGACGATAGCCCATGAAACTTTGGTCGGTTCTCACGAACATTGCGTCGACTTCCGATCTAATATTATAAAAATGCTTGGAGATAACGGGACACATTAAAGCTAAACCTTTTACAAATGAAACTAATTCGTTTGATTGTTTCGTCTTAGACTCTTCGAACATGTTATTGAGTCGGTCGATGTCTTTTTGGGTCAATATTTCGCTTGGTAATTTTATACTTTGCATTATATTATAAAAAGTTAACTTGACAGGTTGAGGTTGTGTGTACAGGTAAACCTAACCTAACCTTCTTTTTATAATTTTAGGTGCCGTCAACAAGCGCTCCGGGTGATTACAAATTGATTGTCGAGGGATTATACGAAAATACTCTAGGAGGAGCAGCTTTTTCCAACGAAACTAAACTTACCTTTTCGCAACGTTCCATGACCATATTCATACAAACTGACAAGCCTATTTATATGCAGGGAGAAGTTGGTATGTAATAATACTGTGTGTATATGTCTTGTAGTAACTACGCACTTCTCCAGTTCGTTTCAGAACAATTCCGATCAACACTGAGTTGCGAGCATTTGACAATGCGGTAGACGTATACATGTTGGACCCCAGTGGTCACATAATGAAGAGGTGGTTGTCTCGACAATCTAATTTAGGTACAGTGAGTCTATCTTACCCACTCTCCAATCAACCGGTATTCGGAGAATGGAAAATTCGGGTTATTGCCCAAAATCAAGTGGAAGAGTCATCATTTTTTGTGGAGGAGTATTATCAAACCCGATTTGAGGTTAGAATAAAATCTACTTTCTAACCTAACAAATTATACAAAGTGTTTCTTAATAATTGTGCCAATTAAAATTCCAACATTTTTACCAGTTTATAAGAAACATTGAAAGTATCACTTGTGGCAATGGTTATTTCAAGGTTTGGTTTCAAAGAAGTGGTACTTAAACAGTTAATTTTCTGACTGAAGGGAATTGTGAGCACAAATTAAGTTAATCCAAGTCATCCTATTGCAATTACAGGGCTCTATTTTAAAAAAGGCAAAACTTGCAATTACTTTTCGTGAACGGATAGTAAAATTATAATTTAGTGAAAATTTCACAGTGTGTTGTATCACTGTTTTTATACAGGGTGCTTGATTTTTTTTATACGAATATGCATTAATTATATTCATTAATATAGTAGTAGACGTCTAGGTTTCTTGGCGAACAAAAGATGGCAGGATTGTTCACAATCACAATTTCTTGGTTATCTAGAAATTTTTATTCGATTCAAATATTTTTAATTAAGGAATGTAAAAACATGTGAATTACATAAATAAGTAATATAATATATAAATAAATAATACAGATCTGCTATAAAAATTGCAACACAAAATATTCCTTTTGCATGTTATTGAAAATTATTTTATTTTAATGTATTCATAATCCTCATTAATCATGGCTCGGGAAAGCGCCTTTGAGCAAAGATCAAACCTTTTGCAATGAGTTTTTTTCATGTTTTAAAAATTTGTGCTACTCAAAGACTTTAATTATATGAAAGTATTTCTGCACAAAAGATGTACAAAAGCTTTATCTTTGTCATTTTGTATAGGTATACAGTTAGTTCATAATATTCAAACTGTTAGAGTGTAAAGAAAAATCTGCAATTCAGTTTCTTAATACATGGCAAGCTATGACCTGTGCAACCAAACCTTGGTATGCAATAAGATTAGATGGAAGAGCAGCCTATGGCTGAACCTCACCCATTCTTAGGAATGTTGTTCTTACGATTAATCATACAAAATTACTAATTATCTTTTTCAAATAGGTTAACGTGACAATGCCAGCTTTCTTCTTTACAACAGACGAATACATCCACGGTACCATAATGGCAAACTACACAAGCGGTGCGCCTGTGCGAGGTAACCTCACATTGAAAGCTAGCATTCGTCCAATTCGGCCGATGCAGCCGCCGAAATTTACAAGAAATCGCCCTTACGACATTGATAAATTTAACGATCATTACAGACCATACACCCCTGACAATCCCTATGAACCCAATCGTCCCTATGATGTTAACCCGTACGATCCATTTCAAACGGTCGATCCCAATAATCCCTATGATCCTAACCGGCAGCTCAGATATGATAATCCACAAGATGCCAGTTATTATGGTGAACGTACGTTTGAAAAATATTTCAACTTTGTAAGTATATGGCACGGATTAAGTTATAAATAATTGCCCATGGTTTTTTTTTGTTTTAGAATGAAGAGTATCCGTTTTGGTATAACAGGCCTGAAAACTACTATGATCCAATCCCTCATTTGAAGTTTGTAAGTTTCTTCTTCTTCTTTTGCACTGCCTCAGAGGAATAAATTTCCTCAGAGGAATGAATTTATTTATTCCTCTGAGAGGGCTGCATATTTTTGAAGTTTTTATCTCTATCAATAGAGGGCCTAATTGTTACAGTAGTAATTACTAATGGTTGTGTACAATCCCAATGTGTGCAATTAGCAAAATAAATACGAAATTAATTTTAGTTCGACGGAGCATACCACTTTACATACCCAATGAGTGAATTATTACAATTGGTTCCATCGCTAGACGGTATGGAAGTCAAAATTACGGCAGTTGTTGGTGAGCACTTCCTAGATGAAATAATTGATGGGTATTCTATCGCCCGAATATATAATTCGTCGTTGAAAGTTTCATTTTTGGGGGGTAGCCCCCAAATTTTCAAGCCGGGAATGCCAATTACGCTCTACGTATGTATCTCATTTTTTCTGATAGGCTTTTATAATAATGCTACTCTTAGATGGTCGTATCATATCACGATGGATCCGAACTGGCAGATGAGAAATTGATAAATAGCGGTTTGGAACTTCAATACCATGCCGAAATGAGGGGCGGTCAGCGGCGCGATGTACCCGCACGCGAGTTGCCAATGTCTGACAACGTGGGCGTTTGGCAGTTTGAGATCGATGTCAAATCTGATCTTGGGTTGGAAGGCCCGGATGCTTACGACGAACTCAGCGAGATTGCCAGCATTCAGGTTCAGGTCAGTTTCAACGATGGATATGGGCAAATGGCAAGGAATGAGCTCTTACTTTTGGCACATCATAGTCCTAGAAATCAACATCTCAAGATATCGACCAGCACTGTGAACCCAAAGGTAATTGAATGGACCAATCATAGGCAATAAACTTTAATGTTTTTTGTTATGGTGACCGTTGTCTCTGTAGTGATTTCTACCAACTCGTTTAATTCGATTGAATTATCTTGTAATTACTAAATCTTCTAGGTTGGGGAATACATTATACTGCACGTTCGAAGTAATTACTATGTTGAACGTTTCAATTACCTTATAATGGCAAAGGGTATTGTGTTGATAACTGGGGACAAGGATATGAAAGACAATGTTTACACTATGGCTGTAACGCTCAGCTCTGAAATGGCCCCGGTTGCAACTGTCGTGATTTGGCACACGGGAAAGTATGGTGACGTGACTGCTGATAGTCTTACATTTCCGGTGAATGGCATCAGCAGAAATAAAGTAACCGTGGATACTTTCAATTTATAGCTTATTGATGGTGGTGTAGTTTTCAGTGTTGATCAATAACAAGAAAGCAAAAACTGGGCATAAGGTTGAAATTGCAATTTATGGCGAACCAGGTTCCTACGTTGGACTTTCGGGTATAGACAAAGCATTCTACACCATGCAAGCCGGGAATGAGTTAACCTACGCTCAGGTACCCTACCGTTATTTTACATAAGCCAGTATTATTTGATTGTAATAATTTATTTATTTATGTTTATTGATCTCATACAAGAAAACAAAAGTAAGAGATACGTTGATCATAACAGTAATTTGCTGGGTTTATTTATCATGGTCATACTTTTAGTATTCCGTGGAAGTTGCTATTTTGGGATTCAGATGGAATTTGAATATATGATAAAAAGGTTGGCCTGTTTTCTGACTTTACAGGCTGGTTCATATGATTTGGTTTTGGTTCAAAATGCTTTTAAGTTGTGAAATTTGAAATAATTACTATATGAGATTAAGGGGGGATTCCAGTTGTACATTAATGCCTAAAAATAGGCTATTTGAAATGTCGTTTTACTCGCTTACAATCTGAGTTGAAGAAAGGGTCTCTATCTGTACGTGTACAGTAACTATTCAAGAACCCGGCTATAAGCCCATAATTTCGTATTTTTGAAAAACAATTTTTTTACAGGGCACAACCCGGACATAAAAAAAATATATAATGTGACCAATTACATGCGTCTCACGCGATATTTAACAAAAAACGTCTTATAGCCGGGATGAGTGGGTTGTAAGGAAGATTTTAAGCCTTTGACCGGGTTTTCAAAATCGTTCTACGCCGTTTAAAACGAAATTTTGAAAAACGCTCAATATCGAAAGTAGAAAAACTGCATGCAAACGTTAGGCAACACATCATACTGCACACGTTCAGCAAATCGCCTTTAATTGCTTCTCTTCTATTGGTTGCATTATTAGCTAATTGTGTGCACTTTGTGAAATGGGCGTGTTTACTACAACAAACATAATCATCACTTTCCATTGTTTGTACTACTACGGCTATAAATAGTAGATTGTGTATAGTAAAAGCAATACATTCCCGGACTACAATGGGCGAGGCCAACAAGCATTGGAGTCCGGGAATTTTTTTTGAAATCGCAAATAACATCGCCAAAAATTAAGGAATTTTAATAAATGCATAACAATTTTTGGTATCTATAGAATTATACTTATCCAAGTAGTCTGACGTAATTTCTTTATAATAATAAAAATGGAACCAACAACGGATATTAAACTTCATCTTTTGATAAGTATAGTCAAGTAGGTACAGTAGGATATCGTGGGAAAAACAATTTGGGATATTTTGATACCTATTAAATAGGTAATTGTTTCTGTTTTCCCCAAAAACGTTTCACGTCAAATGTTTTTTGAAGGTGTATTATCTGCAGTTAGAAAATTAAATTTAAAAAAGTTAATTACTTTTGGGTGTGATATTTAACACATAAATAACTAGATAGTCGTTAGTCGGTGAAATGAATTGAATGAAAAAGAAATTAGCGCTTATTATTGTTACTACTGCACGTATGGTTACGTTTCTTGGCGTTCGAAGACATTTAAAACTCCTATAATGTGGTATCGCTCTTAGTTCACCGCGACATCGATAAACAAGAACCCCCCTACGTCTTAGCAGAAACGTTATGGGTTAGAACGGCGAAGATATATAACCTCACGAGCAATTAGCGGTAATCCGTTATTGACATTCATTCATGTAATCGACATATAGGCATTCAAGTACAACATAAGATCAATTTGATACATTAAATAAATACATGATTCTCAAAAAAACCAATAGAAAGTCGCATATCGAAAGAGGTCTTCCTTCAAAAAGTATCTTTCCGAAGTATTCAAAAAACCCCTGGAAGTATACAAAAAAATATAAATAAATAAAAATAAAATTTGAATTTGAATGTTTGAAAATTGTTTGAGTTAGAAAATGTTCGAATAATGATTTGATCACATCTACGCGGACAGTAGGTACCTACCTATTAATTACATTCCAATTATCAAATGTAGGTAAACATCATGATGTTATTTGTATAATTATAGTTTATTAATTTATTTATTGACCTTCAACAATTGTAGGCATCCTAAAAGTTGAATATGCAAGCAGGCAGGTAATTAACGTTTCTCTGTCTTGATTTCGATGGGCGGTGTTAAAACTTCGGTCGTCGTCGGTACGACCGATACAGGTTTTACCAAATGCCACTATCATAAAATAGTTATGCACCTTGTCATACTTCAATCTCCAAGATAAATCTACTGGAATCTCCCCTTAAGTGACTAGAACTAACAAGTTGTTAAATTAAAGTAATGAGTGTTCTATGCAGATAATTGGCTTAACAGTGTAATGGATTGTAATTACGTCTTCTACTCCTATCTCTGGTTAATCTTCATATATTTCAATTGGTGATTCTTGTCGGGTAATTATGTAAATATGTATTCCGGCTAGCTGACTGTCAGTAATCCTCTCTGGCCTCTTAAGGGAAACGGAAAAAGAGATAAATAATAAGTCAATAGTCTTGATTAAATTTATTTATTTAATGTTTGTGCACCAGGAGTTCTAGATGCGTTCTGGTACTGTTTTCAATCATAATAAAATAGTTCCTCCCTCCCGCTGAAACCGTTTTTTGAAATTGTTGTTTCAGCACGTTTTGCACGGACCGCCTATAGAATCCCCGCCCTTGATATAGTCCGTAAAACGAATGACTTTCAAAAACGGATTAGCGCTTATATTAATGCTGCCCCTGAAGTTATATATCGTTGCCGTTCTCACACGTAACATTTCTGCAAGGACGTATGTGGTTTTTTTATTTTACCGATTTCGCAGTAAGCTAAGAGTGACGCTACGTCATAGGCATTGAAAATTTTTTTAACAATAAATTTAATAAATTTCAAAGTAGACTTCAATCAATAGAACTTACAATAGTGATGTCACAAATCTAAAATTGGTGGTTCCCTGATACTACTACCAAAGTTGAGACTGTTTACAATTGAACAACAAATTTGTAGGTATTGACAAAAATGTCGTCGTTTGACGAACAAACAAACGGCACTCATAAACATACATGGATTTCACACGAGGGCAATCCGGAAGAACTCGTGTACTTCCCCTCCTCCACGTTCGGAATCGACGCGAACCGCACTTTCGAATACGTCGGTTTAATTGTGTTCAGCGACACGGAAGTGGCGCGGCGTCTAACTTTTTGTAATAGCTCGGAAGGTTGGGCGGAGTGCCTCAACGGGGAGTGCTATAGGATGGAACATCGCTGTAACGGATATGCGGAGTGTCACGATGGTACAGACGAAGCGGGATGTATGTTTAATACATAAGGTATTTGGAAAGCTAATTGTTTGCTTTCAGGTCCAACGGAGAACGTTACTGACCTGTCGTTATTCAGAAAATATCGTTTCAATCGCATTCAACGGCAATATGAGAACGTGTGGTGTTGGGAAGATGTTAATATTGGCCCTCATGGACGGTACATTTTTAATTTGGATGTTCCACCACGTCCTGTTAACTGGATGGTGTCTGCGTTTTCGATAAGTCCTTCAATGGGATTTGGAATGCTTTATCAAGCGATTGAGGTAGGTATTTAGGTTTCATTTTAACAAGTCACAATAAATATTCTCAAAATTAATAATTTGGGAGACTTGGTAGCCTGAAGAACTAACTACATAAATTTTCATTAACGTCTGACATTGCGCACGAAAAGAAAAATCTCACGTGAAAAACTCTTATCAGGGTCGCACAAGGGATTCGAATAAACACACAATTAGTTGATTGACAATTCCGAATTTATTCCGAAGCACTAGAAATAAGGTACAACAAAATCCCTGAAAGAGAGAAAAGCTTACAACAGCTTGTTTGGACTTATTACCCCGCACGCAAGCGGTCGACAATTAAAATAACCTACAGTTTTTTCTTAATAATCCAAATAATCTGGTCGTCTGGCGATATAAGGCGCACTTAATTCACACACAAAAGATGGGCAATTCGCTGACAGCTTTTGATGTTTACTTGGCTTTATAACACAGAATTAGATGACAAACGAAACTGGCTTGATGAATAAGATGACAAATTTTCAGTGGCTGTTCGGACGGTATACACTTTTAATAAGAAGAGAACCTTAACAAAAGGCCTCGCCGTAATACAATTGCTTGCTTTTTCAACTCCACAAACCTTTTTCTGTAATTGAACAATATGCGTTAAACTTCTTACACCACTTTGGTTAACTTCTGCACAAATTTATTATAAAAATGACGAACTGCGTCTTCAATTAAACAAATAGGGCTGACTGCCCGGAAATTTAGCGCAAAAAATGTATACTCTTCAAAGGTAGAGACACGGGCAGCCGCGTTGTCTCAGGTATTTAAGGAAACACCACTTCCACCATAAAATAAACTCCTTTTTTACGAATTTTCAAATAAATCGCCAATCATGACGGATGACCATCTACTCCAGGGATCTAAAACGATATGATTATTGAAATAACTGCCAAATTAAATCTTTCATATTTTTCCAAACTTGTGGTACAACGTTAAAAAATTCTAAGGATGTTTTATTTTCATTGAGTATTTGCAATTTGTTGTGATCAATGGATAGCATTTTTTAGGTTGAATTAAGTTAAAGTGATCAGTACAAACTCTGCTAAACAAGTTTAAAAAGTCATTCTCATTATGCAAACATAAATGACCAGAGCGTGTGTTCCTCCTAATAATATTAATGGTAGGACCAGGAAATAATACCAGTAGGCACGAGATCCTTACCCCATTCTCTTTCAAATGAGCCGCCTATCGTCGAAGTCTATACAGTTTAATGAAAAATAGTGGAGCGTATACAAATACATACAAATTTTGAAGTGGGTATTAGTTTAACTATTACTCAAAGTGTCTACATATGGAACTTTTTAGAAATGCTTTCGTAAATAGCATTGCGCATTTTCTTCAATAGAAATTTCATTGAATACCTACTTCATAAATAAAACATACAGCATGCGTTAACAGTAATTTTGAAACCGGTATTAGTTTTAGTTGCATTCAAGGTGCCTACATATGATATTTCGTTTAACTGCTTTCATAAATAAGAAAGTTGCCATTGCGCATGCGCAAAACCAAACTTTAAAACTAGTGTTAGATTTGCTTGTATTTCAAGTGCCTATGTATTAAATTTCATTTAAATGCTTGAGGAAATAAGGAAGTTGGCAATGCGCATGCGCAAAACCAATACCATAAGGTACATTTCATAACTTTTTGGAAGATATTAGCAGCAGAACATGGTTACTTTTACCTTATATGTTTTTCTAAGTGAGATGCACAATAGAATTTCACAACTTGTTATAAAAAGATGGCAATTCAGAAATTCATCTATAGCGCGTTCGAACCTCCTGATGCAGTATGGTGCTTATGGACATATGTATGTGACAATGACAGCACAAGGAGATTATGTTTTGTTTTAATACTTCAAAATTTAATCCATATGTCAATTTGACATCAATGCGGTCAGAAACAAGGATAGTATTATTGAAGAATGACACAAACTAGTAAGAGAGGCAATTAGTCCATAAGACTCCATACTGCATCTGGAGGTGCGAACGCGCTATACCTAAATGAGGTATATCCAAGTATACATCTACAATGCAAGTGTTATAGCGGAAGCACAAACGAGAGCAGAAGCTAAAGTGTAAATACTATTATACATTTGATAAAAACTAAGTCATAAATATTTAGTTTATTAAACTATACGATAAAGCGTAAGAATTGTCGCGATGAACTAATGACATGAATGAAGGTAAACAACCACAATATATACTTCCGTTTTCAAATAGCGGAACCGGTAGCGGAAGTGGGAAATTATGCAGAACTTCCCCACGTAAGTTATGGTGGGTTCATACTTTTGTTTCTATTGGCTATTTATGTATGATTTAATGATAGTAAACTAATGATGATTGTATAAACCGCCCATTACAGTTCAGTTTCTAAATGCAAATTTTAAGCAAAATACTCAAATCCAAAATAGTTTGGAATAATTTCGTTTCTGGCCTAATTTGCTGTTATCTTACAGTATGTCGGTGTATTACCCTTCTTTATTAATGTCGAAATGCCCGCAAATTCCATGGAAGGAGAACAAGTTGGGGTGCGCGTTTCGGTGTTCAACTACATGACGGATCCCATAGAAGCCACTGTTGTCTTGAATAGCTCCCCCGATTACAAATTTGTTCACGTCGAGGAAAACGGCGTTGTTCGAGCATATAATCCGAGAACTTCCTTCGGTGAACACCAGTTCTTTATTTATATTAAGGTAAGCCGTCGACGTCATTCAAATAAACAACTTACATACATTTTTAGGCTCAAGACGCTGCTGTCGTCTACATTCCTATAGTACCTACACGACTCGGTGACATCGATGTCTCCATTCATGCTACCACATTAATTGGAAAGGATCAAGTAACAAGACGATTGCATGTTGAGGTAATATTGGAATCTTGAATACACACTCTCAAAAATATAATTTAACAGGCTGATGGTCTTCCACAATATCGTCATCAATCTGTTTTACTCGACTTAAGTAATCGAGCGTACGCTTTCCAATATATGCACGTTAATGTTACCGAAACTCCAATTTTGCCATATGAGTATGACCGTTACTACGTATTCGGTTCGAACAAAGCTCACGTGTCCGTGTTTGGAGATGTTGTTACCGCGATCTTCCCTACAATGCCAATGAATGCAACGTCAATGTTAAATTTACCTATGGTATGTCGGTTAAATGGTATTAGTCGACTCTAATTCAAAACTTTAGGATTCAGCCGAGCATAACATGTTTTCGTTTGCCGCCAATATGTATACAACACTTTATATGAGATATACCCAACAAAGAAATCGGACGTTGGAACGTGAGGCTTTCCATCACATGAACATTTTGTATCAACGTCAGTTGTCATTTATGCAGCCCGATGGATCCTTTAGTTTATTCAGAAGTGATTGGTTAGTTTAAAAATTCTTCACTTTTTAATTTTACCCGTTTACTCTACAGGAATCAATCCCACTCATCAGTGTGGTTAACCGCTTATTGTGCGAGGGTGTTCCAAGAGGCCAGCTTCTATGAGTGGGAAAATTATATTTACATCGATCCTGTTGTGATCTCGAAGGCAGTGGAATGGGTTTTGGAGCATCAGACCGAGCATGGATCATTTTACGAAACTACTTGGTCACCGAACAGAAATTATAATGCGACAATTAATTGGCCGAATGATAATATTCGTTATAGAAATATTTCGTTAACAGCGCACGTGTTAATTATGCTCGAATCTGTAAAGGATCTAACAAGTAAGTATATGTGTTATTGTCCAAGTTGGCAAATCTGAATAGCACATTCAGGTTTGCCAAGTTAATTTTTATTTATCTCGGCCTTTCCAATCATAAGCTAATTTGATATATCGGTTTTAATTGATTATCAGACATTTTTAGAAACTATCCTCTGCACGATAAGGGAGGTTTTTGATCTATGCTTATGCAAATGAGTCTCTGAATTTTGCCATATGTATTCTAGGTTGTCACAGATGGAAACCAGCCTAGTTAATACCGGTATTGCAGTGAACGAGTTTTCCCTATGAGAATTTTGCTCACACTAACGTCCATTGGCACGTCAAAATTAGATAGTACTTATGTGGCGCTATTGTCACAATAATGGTACCTATGAATATAAGGTATACAGAAATAGTGTTTGGGTAATTTGTGTGAAGTTCTGTTCTTTTGAGCCAGTATTTTATATATTTTTAGCGCATTTTCCAACGAAGTTGGGTGCGCTATTGCAGCCACTTTCTCTGTCCGTCCGTCTGTCCGAGGGCTACTCCTACAGTTTTCAAGACGATTAAACTGCGCATGCGCAGCAGCGCAATGTCAAATTTTTTATTTATTAATATATTTTGTTGAAATTTTAACCACAAATACTTCTAGCAAAGATAATACTACAGTAGATAGTAAATGGGCAAGTTGCTAAACCGCTTTTGCAATTAAGCCTATCATCGGAAGCTGTAATCATACGTATTCAACACACAAGCTGCATTAAATATTATCTCTTCCTTGACCTACCCCATATTCCTTTACGTATTTACATACAGGGTGATTCCTATAGTACCTGCCACCGTTTGGGAGCGTATAGGGGGTGCCTAGGGGAGTATTTTGATATAGGACACTTGGGGTCGGAAATCTAAAATAAGGGCGCCAGAACCAAATTTATCTTCTGGAATTTCACGCCTGTATGTAGGCAACCCAACCGACCGACGTTTCGCGCGGAGCGATGCAGAGCGAGTTAGCGCGAGGAAGCGACATGGGAGGGAAGGAGGGAAAACGACAGTCAAAAGCAATAACGTTTACAAGTGTTCAACGTGGCCACCGTTGTTCTCAATGCACTTCCTACATCTAGCCAACTATTATTATACTATTGCCATAGTGTTTATTCACTTGATACGCGTCGTTGCAGACGGGATTTCGTGGGTTTAAACAAAATTCTGATCAAGTGTCAGCCACACATCGCCGCCTGAGATCGCTCCGTGTGCACCGCCGGCCGGTTGGGTTGCCTACCTACAGGCGCGAAATTCCAGAAGGTAAATTTGGCTCTGGCACCCTTATTTTAGATTTCCGACCCCAAGTGTCCTATATCAAAATACTCCCCTACGCACCACCTACACGCTCCCAAACGGTGGCAGGTACTATAGGAATCACCCTGTAGATTAAGTTACATTTAAAGGTAAGGCAAACATCTGGATAGGAATCTCTGAGTATTTCCGCCAAGTTGCAAATATTACGCACTTTTATTGGGCTCGAATGTTAAATCACAGTTATGAATTCAACAAATTTATTGCATGTTTTTCCTTGTAGGTTGTAAGTAAGCAACTACCCTTTGTATAATATGTACTTATACAGGGTGTAATATCCCCCTCGGATCGTAATTGCTTTACCATAATAGATATCGGGAAAAAATGGAGGAGCAAAAATGTTTATTTCACTAGCTTATCAAACATCCGTTGACTACCTCTGTCGGTTCTCTATTTATTATACTTTACCTTTTCACTGTCTCGGTTTGCTTAAGAGACCTCCTTTAGCCGAAATGGTTACTACAAACGGATTTCGTTGAATCTTGTACTATCCAGCACAATGACAAAAACGGAAATAATAAATTACGGTATATTAATAAAAAATAAACACGGAAAATATCAAAGACATTGCTTTTCTATGGAATGCTCTAAATACTAAAATTCTGGCAGGCATAGACTTGAATAGTGACATCTCTTTTACTAATTTACACTTTAAACGCAATCTGATTTTTGTTATACGGTGACACTTTAAATCATTGATGATCTCTGAATTGGGTTCCCTTATAATGAGATTTAAATGGACTTCTATTTGACCTGAAAATTAAGAGATGTGGTCTCCAGGTACCATATTAAATCATAAATCTATCGGTACGAATAAAACCTAGAAATATTCTTGATACTATTTAGCGTAAATTTCAGGCACATACCTGGTTAATAGGTATTTCAAAACCAAACATAAACAATTAACATGTTAAAAAATTAAAATGTTTTTTGCAGATTGTTGCTCCACAGCTTCACATGTAGATTAACTTCCGAGGGTTTATAATGACCCCAAGCAATCGAAAGAAGATTTTTTTCTCATCTAATGATATGCGAATTTGGTCATTTTCAGGTGTATTTCTCATAATTTCATAAAAAATTCAACAAAATTAGCAATTAGCAAAATCATGTTAAGTGATGACTCAATTGGAAATTTTCTAAAGAATTGAATAACATTTGAATCTGCTTTTTGTCTTACTAATAGTCATGGCTTACATGATTTTGGTAATTGCATTTATTTCCAAATTTGTAATGAAATAATGAGAAATGCAACCGAAAATTAACTAATTCGTATGTGATTAGATGAGAAAACAATCTTTCTTTTGATTGGTGTCATGTGTCATTATAAGCCCTTTAAATTAACATGGGGATTACAATCTACAACAAACATTTTTACCATGTTAATTGCTTATGTTCGGGTCGAATTTTTTTTTAATAACCTATTTTTATTAAATTCTTCCAAATACCTTCTGTCAGGTTTTATGACAAAAAAACTGACAAGGGGGAGAAATGAGATCGACACAAAATTGATGAAAAAAATGGACAATGGAGGGGACGGGCCCCCCTTGGGACCGCCACTGTCGTCTACACAAGGCCGCGCTAGATTAAAACACAATATAAAGAGCCATTGTTCTAATATTGTCTGCAAATGCAGTGAATAATCGCTACTATTGTGGTAAAAACATTCTCCGCGGACAGAGTCGACATATCCCGCTGACAAAATTGAGCGTTTAAAATTTATACAGACGGTGTCTATCTAGTGTATTATCTTTGCTTCTAGTAAGGGCATACATTTCACATATAGTAAAAAATCAGGTGTGCGCATGCGCAGACTGTAACATGCCAACTTTTTTATTTATGGAAATCTCTCTCTCTCTCTCTCTCTCTCTCTCTCTCTCTCTCTCTTTCTAAAGTTTAACCATTGACGCTTCTAGTAAAAACAAAACAAACCTCGCATATCTATAGCATAAATTAAATGTGCTCATGCGCGAACTGCGCAACGCGCCAACTCTTTTATTTATGGAGATATTTCTTTGAAATTTTAACCATATATAGCGCACATAGCTATGGCCGCCTGTTATGGGCTTTTGGGAAGTACTGATCAATTCATGGAAAATGCGCTGAAGTTACTCGCCTTAGGGTGAAAACCTTTTTGTTTTATATAGGTTCGATAAAATGATTCAGGTGAGTAGAAATTACCACTTCATACAGCAAAATTTACCAACTGTGTTAATCTGGTTGAATTAGCCTCAATATAGACAGATTGTATTTTAATTTCGGAGGAGAGTTTAACTTTCACTTGAACAATCAGTGACTATCTATGACACAGCTAATACCTCTGAATTGGTTTTTAAATATAGGATGGATGAAAAGAAAGAATTTTGACTAAAATGTTTTTATGTTTCCTTGGAAATTGTAATGCAAATACTCGTAATTAAAATAAATTGTGAGGTTATTATTGGTCTTTTGCGCATGCGTGTACCAATTTCAATAAAAATAAGATTGGCTAGCACAGGGGGCCGATTCTAACTGATTTCAACGGTCGAAAAAGAATTTCGACGGCGCCATGACACCAAATTTCTACTCTTAGGGTGTAATAGGAAGTTTATGTTTCTTTAAGTTTGATCTTATATTTTGCTAAGTTGGCTGTCTGATTTTGAACTATTTTAAACTTTATAAACAAAACCTTATGTTCGACCCTAACCCTACAGTAGCTACAATCGTACCTATTATTATTCCTCCATGAAGGAAATTAAAATGGTTTTTTGTTGGGATGTGATTTTAGTCTCCGCCATTGTAAAGATACGTAGGTAAAAGTAAAATAAAACAAAGCCACGGATAAAAAATGTAAACAGTGTACCAAAACACAAAATTGAGGTTAAAACAACGTACGACTTTCTGAATAACAAAGCGCGCACTGTCGCTATCCCTTCTATTTCGACGTTGAAATCGTAATTTCAACCACTGTAGTCTAGTTGAATTTATTTTCAACGGTAGAAAAGTTATGACGTTTCAATGACGTATATTAGTAGTTCATGATAACACCGATAGATGGTTACGATCGCAATTTCGATGCAACTACTGAAATTTCAACCGTCGAAATCAGTTAGAATCGGCCCCCTACCACTCACACACCTGCGCATGCGTGGTCTGTCCAAAGGCTTTCAAGCTCTTTCTTTTATGTCAAAGAATATGTGTATCAAATTAATTTAATTTGAATGCGATCGCGATCGCATCTGTTGAAAGAACCAATCAAATGCGTAACCATAAGAGACAGCTTGTTCTCTTAGTTTTCCCTTCTCTCTCACCTTCAGTATTCGTGCTTAGCATTGACATGCGTAGTCCATTTATTATATGTTGTTGGTGTAGTTCTTTCCCCATATTTTATAGTTTTCTTTATACCTATTTGAATTTGGAGGCCTAATAGCTTCTGCCTTGTCGTTTTAAATATTCATTTCTGCACAATCGCTTTGTACAAAAATATTAAAATTATAGTAACATTTTTTTATTATTATATACTGTAACAAACGTAACGTCAAAGCATTAGAATTAGACAATGAAGTAAAATATTGTTGATTGCTCTAAGCAGCATCCAGCATGGTACCATTGTGTATTGTATTGTATTGTGTGTGTGAGAGTAAAGGGAGTGTAACCTCTAAGCACCTAATTCACCAAGCATTTTGGTATTTGTTTTAGAGTAGTTTTAGCTGATTGATGAAGCTAATTACTGCTCTGAGGTTTAGTTCTCCTTTCCCGTGCGGTTTCAGCTTGTCCCCTTCGAGGTCATTTAGCCTGCCAGCAGCCTCACATCTGCATAGAATGTGTTCAGCTGTCTCATCTGCCTGTCCCCAAAGTCCGCATATGACGTTTGTCGCTGCGCCAAACTTATGTAGATGGTATTCCAGTATATGTGGGCTTGTCTCTCTAGGTTGTGCTTTATCAGAACCTCATGGTTTGGTGCAGTTCTATCGCGCTTTCCATCGCTTGCTTCTTCACAACTAAGTGAAGAGGGGCAAGGCCTATCAGTGTCTCCAATGCGGCTGTGGAACAGGTGCTAATGGCTCCTGTCATACTTAAACAGGCTAGCCTTTGTAGGTATGGGCTCTGTATCGCTTACATATAGTATGTGCCCAACAACCTTTTGGAAGGGTGCTGGAAATATACTATCTCCACCAGGCGCTTTAAAGGGTTTAAATGCCATTAGGACTGATTATACCCTCTCCGAAAAAAGCAGAGCGTAGACGCATCATGTTTCTTACAACTGCAGAAATGGCTTATTTCATAACTTATGCAATTACATAAGTAATCTGTTTCTATTAACGAAATTACTGAAAGCGAGTGACCTTGACAGTTCTTGAAACATATAGCATTTTGTTCTCATAAAATACACAAGAAACCCATAAATATTGTATGCTCATTTTTCCATAGGTGGCCTAAGTTCCCGAGTAGCTATAGCACAATCAAAGGCAATACGATGGTTAGACAGAAATCTTAAATTATTGGAGGATTTAATAGAAAGAGACAAAAGGATCGAAAAATTAAAAGAAGAAGGTAAAGAGGTTGACGATCATGAGAAACATCAACGTCCATTCGACATCGCAATTGTCGCCTACGCGCTAATGAAAAGTAAAGCGCCAAATGCAGAAACTGCCTACTCTTTACTGGCGAGGTGTGCTCGCATCGAGGGCGGTCTCATGTATTGGGGACGTGAAAGTGTACCGCAACCGCCCTCAAAAATTGAAAATCAAAGACCTTTCCTCCTGCCGCGGTTACCTTACAAGTACGACTCAGAAAATATTGAAACCACTGCCTATGGATTATTGGTGTATGTTGCACGTCAAGAGGTATTTGTGGATTACATCGTGCGATGGTTAAATACTCAGCGACTCACAGATTATGGATGGGCTTCATCGTCCGATACCGCATACGCATTAAAAGCTCTGATAGAGTATACTTCAGTTCAACGTATCCGCGATATTTCCAAATTGAGTGTTACCGTTGAAGCAACAGCATTACCAGGTAAAACGGGCATCATGTACGTTAATGAACACAATAGAGCCCAGTTGCAACGTATCGATATCCCAAATGCATGGGGTACCGTAAAGGTATGACGACAAACCATCTACCTTGTTTTAGTGCAAATGTTTCAGGTACAAGGCACGGGAACGGGTTACGCAGTGTTGCAAATGCACGTGCAGTATAATGTAGACATCGCAAAATTCCAAACCAAGCCTCCGGTGCCTGCGTTTGATCTGTGGACACGAGCCGAATTTTACGGCAAAAATCACTCTCACATAGCGTACCTTAGCTGCCAGAGATGGATTAACTTTAACGAATCGGAACGTTCCGGTTTAACCGTCTTGGATATCACCATACCGACAGGTTATATTATTCAACAACAAAAACTGGACGCTTATATTTTGTCGAGACGTGTGCGCAACTTGCAACGTGCTCGATTTTTGGATCGCAAAGTGCTCTTCTACTTCGAATATGTAATACTTTAGTTCGTGTTCTAGGCTGTAGTTAACCAATTTTTTTTGCAGCTGGACGAGCAAGAGACGTGTATTAATCTAACAGTGGAAAGGTGGTATCCTGTGGCTAATATGTCTCGATATCTGCCAATACGTGTGTATGATTATTATGCGCCAGGTGTGTATACCATATTATTTCCTTCAACATTTGTTTGTCTCAAACTTGGCAACACTGTCAGTTTGGCAACCGCTACATTCTTTTGTTTGCTGTTTTGTAATGTAACCTGCTTTTTATTTCAAGTTGGCAGCACCATCTATATGAATAATGCAAATTTAATTCCGGACTTTAGTCCAAGAACACTTTGAGAGGAATTTCTTATTTATTATTTTTTTTAAGAGGAAGGTCAGTGAATATTCACCTCGGTTTCGTTCACTCCTGTAAAAAATCTTGTTCAGGTGCGTGCGTTGTAATGGCTTCTCTTGCCCTTACCCTTTGCTTTTTTATTGCTCATTGTATCACATTTGCTGTGTGATATTAATTGATCTAAAGGTACTTTGTTACTGAAGATTTGTAGGACTTTGTTTTCATTATCTTCATGAGAATGCTTCTAGAACTTCCCAGCGCACCTACCCTTATCAGGCTTTATGCCTTTCCAGCATCTCGTAATCAGCGAAACCACAGTCAAGGAAGCCTGTAAACCAACGATCCGCCTTCCAAATTAGGGGGAGGGGGGTGTCATGCAGTACCATGTGGGTTATTTGGGCAATTAGACGCCATTCAATTGGGTTATTTTGTATTATGTAATGCGTTATGGTAACATATCATGTGTATTTATTTACTTCGAGACATCTTTATACAAAATGTAACTGGAATTTTATGTGCTGTTATATACAGTGTGTCCCAGATCGGGTGGGATTGCATGGGTAACTTTCTTACTATTAAAGATAGAGAATTGGTTAAATGGACAATGTATTGCAGTTTTAGATGCTTAGTTAAAATTTCCTTGTGGAAATTCAAAATGTCACATAGGATCGACGTGAATTCAAAAAAACTAAAATGGATCATTTCCTTGAATGTTTTATATCATCGAAAGTATAAGAGATATAAAAAAAAGTTTTATATAAAAGTTACTGTTTTTGATGCGCCTAATTTTAAATTGATGTAAAAAAAATTCAAGATGGCTACCTTTGAGGGACATTTACCAACTTCCTAAAGTTAAATAGGCGCCATATTGGATTTTTAGGTTGTTTGATAGATTTTTTAATTCTCTTTTTAACAAGCTATCATAGCATAAGATTGAAAATAAGATACCAGTTATATCAACGGTTTTTATATTTTAATCAAGTAGGTTCTGATGAATTTAAAAAAACGAAACAAAATCTATTCGAGGCAACAAAACAATGAAAATAATTACATCAGATGTTTAAAATATCAGGGGCGCACTCATGAGAGGGGGGTTTGAGCGTTACAACTTTTGGAGAAGACAGATATGTGCGATAACGTAGTAAAAGCAAGATCAAAATGAAAATACTTTTTCCCTTTACTTGTCAGAAAAACACATTGACAAATTTGTTAAACAATTATTCAAACTCTCAATGCTATACTGATCAAAACTGATCTATACAAAAATACTGAATAAATCAGTGTTGCTATTTATCTCCACAACAACTCCCTCCAAAATTTTACATAAGTAGGCCTAGAAAAATTTTGTCTTTTATGCCGTCACTTATTGACTATCCTATTATCCATACTTACATACCTACAAAATGGTGGTATAACTTCAAACTATCCCCTTGAAAAAATGTCATGCCATTATGCACATTTCAAGACACTTCGCTTTACTTTACACAATGTATTGTACAGGGTGAGTCAACTATTGCGCGGAGTAACTTAATGCCCTGAAGATAAGATTTTTCGATAGAGAGCTTTTGTATTATGATATGGTTGAATATTCTCCACATTTTGAAAATATTTGGAATTATACAGGGTGCGCTCACAAAGTATGGCGCCTAAGTGGTATATTTTTTTTAATGGAACCCCCTGTGTTCGAATGCATTTTTGAATTCTACGTGTAATTGTACGTCTTTTTTATTATATGGTTAATATCCGAAAAGCTAGTAGTTTTAACAATAATTCGATTTTTAAGAAAAATTCAACATTTGCAAGCGTCAGTATATATTGTCAAAATTATTACTTAAATTTTGATTCCAGGTTTTATATCTTTTATCCTGGGTTAAGTAAAAGTCAAATAAATACATCTACTATGAAACATTAAAAAAATAGCCTACGGGGTGTTTTTTTTCTAGATCCACAGTTACAAAACTTCATATTAAAAAATCTCACTTTTTTTAAATGGAACACCCTGTATATTTTTCTGTTCATCTTTTAGCTCCTCCTTTTGATAATAATGTCCTATACCTATCTCTGATAGTTTTCGAAACATCTTGGTTTTCCTGGTTTTTATATTCTAATCTTAAATAAGTTATACGTAATTTACATAATAGTGAGGTCGCCATGCAAAAAAAAGGCAATTTTTATCTGCCTCGTTCAAAGCTAAAATATATTTATTAATTCATTTTTCTAATAATTCATTTAAGTCTATAAAAACTGGACTTGTTATAAAACTTGGCCTTGACAAGCACCGGGGTAAAACACTAAACTTGGTTGAGGCCTACAGTACATACATTGTCGTAGTGAGACCGTAAGTAAATTGGAGTGACTGTGTTTAACTTCCCTCCCTCTCCCCGCTGCGCCCCTTTCGATTTACATTCCACAGCTTTATATGCCCAATTATAGCTTTCTAGTTCTTTTTCAGATTTTTCTAGGCTCTTTTATCACATAAGTGATTTAATAAAGCCCCAGAAACTCTGGAAAGTACCTGAAACGCTTAAGAATGCACTTACTACAAATATTGGATTAGTTCAGTGCTTTCTATAACTTTTCCAGACGTTCATAGACTCCTTTTTAGCCTGTTAATATTCTCAACAATCTAGAAAGTCGTTCGGAAAAGTCTGTTTTCAGCAAAAATACGAAATTGTTTAGAATTTCCCAGGAGCTTCTTGTATGGCCCCCCAGAGTCTAAACATCTGAAAAGGTGGTCTAAAATACTCTGAAAAAGATATGGAAAGGGCGTCAATAGATCTGGAAAGTCGTGTAAAAGCCGTAGAATGCTCTGAGATCTTTGGAGAATATTTAAGAGGCTCGGGAACAGAGACTCTAGAAAGAAACAGAGTCACTTAAGACTTATGAGAACATTCAAAGACTTCCAAAGCCCTCTAGATTAGTTTTTATGTGCGTATCAGGACCTTTTTTGGAGCTTATATGCTCATCATGGTCTGGAAAGAGTAAGTAGGGCTCTCCAGAAAGTCCCTGCGATGTACGAGACCTAAGACCGTTATATACTCCTCTCAGAGCATTTTATCACCTTCCTAAGGTGTTTAGGTCTTTTCTGGGTGATTTTCAGACTAATGTAACTGATTTCTTATCTTGATTTGGTATTATTTTTAACTACTCTAATTATTTACTTTCAGAACGATTCAACGAAACAATATTTGATGCCTTAACGACGTACCTGTTGAACATTTGTGAAGTGTGCGGTAGTAGTCAATGTCCCTATTGTTCCATATATAATGTGGCAGCTAATCTTCCAGTACCTTTAGTAACACTATTTTGTACTTTGTTTGTTATGGTTATCTACAATTGGGGGATATACAAAGTGGTATAATTGTGATTGTTAATGTCCGTCTTCGATTATGCAGATTCATGACTCGCATGAATTTGCATAATAATTATAATGGCGCACATTCAATTAAGTAAAATGGACTGTAAAGTACAAGCTGTACTAAGTGTAGTGCCTCATCTTAGATTAAGGGAGACATTTTACCAAATTATGACTTATTTTACACCGACTGACTTATTTGTCTTAGTATCAATTACCGTCCATGATTTTGTTATTAATTGCCAGTAAATGTCATATCAAATTTGAATACTCAAAAGCTCATTGTATAATATGTTCTAAATCCATTGTAAAAATGACAATTTTTACATTATTGTAAAAAGTATAATTGTAGGTAGTATGTTGAACTCTAAAGGGTCTTTATTTTTCAAAAAATCTATCTTTTACGAGTGTTAATGATGAAAATGTGCTGCTTCGAATTGTATAGTTTCTTGGTGGTCTAACCAAAAAGGGCTTTAAATGCTCGTAGTCTCAAAATAAACCGTCCATTTGCACTGACTTAGATTAGAAAAGTAATATATTTCTTTTGTAGTTTAATTAGCGAAAGGTAAGATATTTTCTCCTATTTTTTTAACATCCAAGCTCGAACATTAATGTCCTACATTGTAAATAATTAAACTCATTTTTTAAAATTTGTATTTTCATGAAATAATAAATTTGTGTTAGTTTAAGATTAATATTGTTTGTAAACATGTTGATATTCGAAATAAATATTTTCTTTATATTAAAAAAATAGTAATATGTACAGTGTAAACTAAGAAATATTTAATATTAAGATTCTTATTTATCACTAGCAGAGATTAAAATGAAACAATCCGAAATTTACAGACATGCTGAAAAAATATGAAAACAGAAGAACCTGAGAAGATCGGAAGTAGTTTAGGTTACCTGGAAAATTTAAAGAAACTGAAACATCAAAGAAATTGATGAATCGAAAGAATATTATTATTTAGTTGCTGTAGTGCTGATAGGAACAAAAAAAAGTAAGTACATTTTAAATTGATCAAGAAAAACTAGAATAATTGTGTACAGTGTACGTGTTGAGAATTGTCGACATAATTTTTGATATTTAGAGTATATGAAATTGTTAACTTCTCCATTCCTAGTGGTTCGTTGCAAACTTAATTCAGTGAAAGCCGAAAATGCAGTTCTGTAGTGGGGCCCTAATTAACGGCATGTAGCTTATACCTACTGCAGTACACATATATGTGAAGAATTAGGTCTGTATACAGGTCACCACATTTTTTTCTCAAATAATGAGTGTAGAAGGGCCTTTTACATACATTGTTGGGTAATGGTCTTTCCAATTTTGAAAATAACACTCCAAATTCTCTATTCCTAACTGGGGATGTGAAAAAATGTGCATCAGAAGGAAATTTGGTATTTGGATGTTTTTCAATATGAAAATAATGGCGTCAGAAATTTGGATATAATCCAACTGTAATTTTTGGCCTTTAAAAAAAAATGATCATGGACTTTATTAGTTACACCCTTTGACCCTTCAAAGTAAAATGATACCAGATTTTGTTGAAGTTCGATCAGGGGTGGGAGTGGCAGAAATTAGCGCAAGAAACTCTTTGTTGTATGACACTATACACAACGATTTGCTTAGAAACACCATAGAGTCGGTAAATTTGCCATGTAACAAAATCCAGAATGTGTAGCACCATGGACTAAAAAATTACACTAAGAAAATTGACTATAAGTATTTCAGAAAAATTTCATCACATACGTCATAAGAAGTAATCTACATAATCATAAACGTCCGACTTCAAATTCTATTATAGAATTATAGATGAAAGTGAAAATGGCCTTGTAATGTGATCGTCATCTACGCCTACGTAGATTTTTGCTTTATCTTCAAGCCACAAAAGTAATTCAATCTTCGTAAAGTAGGAAGTAGGTCAGCGAAGAGAGAATTTTTCTGTGCGGAACTGCCGACTGCCCAGTGGCGAATCAGTTCCGATGTAGTATTTTTTGAATGCGTTTCTAGTAACTTTTGATTGAGAAGTCTGATCGAAAAAGTACGAATTGTTTTGGATTCTACGCTCCAAAATTAATAAGAAAATGTGTTTTCCCGAGAAATTTTGGTGCAGTCGATTTTTGGAAAAAAGGAATGTTATACACTGTCTTTTTTTTGCCTCGAAAAAAAATATCATTGTATATAATATACATCTTTATATACCTACAATGGTAGTATGGATGGAATTGATCTTTTCTCTCACAAATACACTATACTTACAGCACTCCCACATTAGTGAATTGCGCAAAAGGACCTTGTTTGCGTAAATTCCACACAAAATTGCTAAAGCAGTGTTAAAACGGTCTACGTGTACCGCTAATCCAACAAAAACGTTAGAAATTATACGCATAATCAGTTATATTTTCTCACTGTACCTATTTAATTTTCATGGCTAGCTAAATTCAAATAAAGTTTGTAATTGGGTAAAGGTAAGGCGTTAAAATAATAAAATAAATAGGTCTATGGCCTGAAAGAATTAAAAGACTCCTTGCATCAGAAGCATAATATCACATTCCTGTGATTAAATATAATGCTGACAGTATCATGGTGTGTCTGGTGCAAAGTAATGACCTAATTCAAATCTCAACTTTGTTGTCAGTATATTTAAATAGGTAATACAGTGGTGACATGCTGCTATATGGTAATACGGCGATACAACAGCTTTGAAGAACAGTCACAAGATAGCAACACTTCCTTACAAGATTTTCTACTGCAACAATATCCTATCCCATGACACCTCTTTAAGTATATTATTTACTCTATGATCGAGTGCAAATAAAAAATTGTTTTTCTACTGAAAAGATAATTAACACATTATAAACAGTGGATTATGCGGGTCACTCTGTAATTGGGCGCATGCCTGTTGACGGCCCAAAACAAGAGAGGGATAATAATAATAATAAATAATTATTTAGTCCTTTTTTTGAATTTTGCACAAACAAGCTGTTTTTTTGCTACCAAGGTTAAAATTTAATAACTATGTGCTACATTATTAACTTTTATTAAAACTATCAAAATCATCATCAATAAAATCTTTTTCATCTACAGTTTCATTTTCCATTTCTTGCTGTTCGATCCATACAGTTTCCACTCGTTCTAATTCGGCTATTTGTTTTTTAATATCTCTTTGCATTTTACTTTTCATAATCTGTAACATTAAAATGAAGACAATTACATCAACATCAATATCTAGGCCTAAATTACCTGCTGCTTTTGTAAAAACTGTCGAAATGCCTCCTTTTCTTCCTGTTCGCTAGTGAACTGAATAGGATCTTTATTAATAAGAGTGGTAGGTTCCAAGTCCCCACGCAATTTGTCCCTATGTATTGCTTTTGATTTCTTTGCTGCGCTTGTTATCTCTTCCATAATTTTGGAATGATTTAAACCAAAAACATCATTTGGCATTGAAGGTATACCATCACATTCTTCGTTACTTGTTTTATCCAGTTTCTCAATTTTTTGCTAATGTCATATTAACTGTAAAAATTTCATTTCGCTTTCCAACTTACCATGTATGAATTTAAGCTTGTATTCAATTGCAATTGTGCCTTAACTCTTGCAGTTAACTCAAGAGGTACATGGTCATCTCCATAATCCGCCTCTGATAGCAACTTATCAACCTGGGCCAATCTCGCAAATTGTTTATCTCGCACGAACTGTAAGCTCGGAACAACACCAACTATTTTCAATTGTGCCAATTCGTGTCTTAGAATGCCTACATTTTTTGTCAAAATCTCTTCGATCGCCTTATTTTCAACATTCTTAGTACTCCAATATATTCGTACACAAGAAAAATCTGATGTGATCTGCACCTAAAGGACATCGGAAAGGATTAATAGCACCGTCACAGTTTCACATACGTTATTTATTTCGATGCCATGCCCTACGAAAGCCGACGAGCATTCACCTGTGGACATCAGATCAGTAATGTATCTCATAAATAATTTGTTCAGTACATTCACTCGTCTAGTGTTAGACGATTTCTTTCCTTCATTTGCTCCCACAGTGAACGTTGATGGTTGTGATAGAAGCGGTTCCGTACGATACTTAAACTTTCTAAAATGTAACGAAATAACAACCTAAGCCGTGCGATAAGACAGTGTTAACTTCTTTTTAGTTTCCCCCATAATCTTCCTCATAGTTTTTGCTTGTCCATTGTAGTGCGACGAGATGTGAAACAGCCTATTAAATGAAATGTTTATTAAATTTCTATTCATTTCCGTTCGTAAATTGATTATTCGGTTTAGGACAAGTAAAGTTTATTTTTAATATATAGGTTAAGATCACACAGCACAGCTATATGTGAGCCACAGTCCCCTCCTAATTCATATGGCCGTGTTGCCGCTTAAGGATATTATTCACGTTAGTTCTACAGCGAATAGTTACAAACCAAACTTAAATCATTTATAGTTGATTCAGTTTATTTAATGGAATTAACAGTCGTTTTATTGCTTTCAGATAATACGTACCATTGTTTGAATAAATAAACAAATTGGAGCTAAACTGGCAACGTCGCTGTATCCATATCTTTTTAAAATTTGTTTTAACGGTTATAAATTGTTATGGTGTGATGAGCATGTTAGCTTAATTAGTTTTGATTTGTTATTAATATATTTCGTTTTATATGTATAACTAATATGTGTTCCACAAGAATTGCAGTAGTATAGTTGTTCGCCTGGATACCATCCACAAGAAGTTCGTTACAATATTTGTACAACACAATCCTTACATTGTGTATTTTCTGTCTCAGGTTTATGCAATGGATCCGTTCGTATCTGAGACCGATGATGAATCTAGCACAAAACCCCACCCTCCGTCTAGCACGAGAAAGTCAATACGGAAACGTAAAATACGGCTTACCCACGAATTAAACAGTGGGGTTTCTACAAACCTTCCACTAAGGTCACCCACTTTTGGAAGAACTAAAAGGAAAATCTCTAATTCGTTCCTACCTCCGATTGACAATGTGTCATTAGTTTCAAAAGTCATTGTACAAAAAGCGCCAATGGTAGTTAACAAAAAAACTGTCAAACAATTAGAAATGCACAAATTGAAACTCCAACGAGGTGAAAATAAACGATCAAAAAGTAAAAGTGCAAATGTATCAAATAAGAAAGAGAACTTTGTTGACTATAGTGACTATTTCCGTAAGTGCAGTGTAATTTTGACAAGATTGACGAGTAAGCAAATGGAGGAAGCTTTGAAAAGACATACAGCACCCTGTCGGGAGGAGGAGGTTCCAAATGTGATAACCAGTTCTCTTAGAAGAGGGTCAAGACTAGGTAAACTTTTGTATATTGGTCCCATTTTCTTTAATGAAATTTTAGGACGGTCGTCATCCACGGGTAAAACACAGGATGATGCATTGAAGAAACATACAGCATCGCCTCATAATGGTGAGAACTTCGAAACCTCAAAAGAAGCAGCAGGTTCTCCTAAAAGAAGTTCCAAACCAGGTAGGTCGTCATCATCAGGTAAACTACAGGAAGATGCATTGAAGAAACCGTCATTGTCTCAGTCAAGAGAGAGTTTGGAAGATGTGGCAAAAGAAACAACAGGTGTCTCTAGAAGACGTTCGAAACAAGGTACACATGTAGATAATGAGTTTTGGCTCCACTGAATATCAAGTTTCAGGACAGTCTCCACCAACTGGTAAGCAAAAGGCATCTTCTTATGAAGAAGCTAGTTTAGGAAATGTCAAAACTGCGAAAGAAACGGCAGATTCTCCTAGAACTAATTCAAAACTAGGTAACTTTTTTATATATCGTCCACATTTTGTATGATCAAATTTTAGGGCTGTCGTCATCAACAGGCAAAAACCAGGAAGATGCATTGAGGAAAACATCATCTCATGATGGAGAGAGTTTGGAAGATGTTGAGATGGCAACAGACTCTAAAAGAAGTTCAAAACAAGGTACCTATGCTAAATTTGCTCTATATTATATAATGTAATTTTAGGACGGGGATCATCTACGGATTTAAATGCGACCTTTGAAATACCCGAGGTAAGTATATAATTATATTTTCAATTAAAGTGGATATGTTTTTATTGATGGTGTTACCCAGCAAGCGATTGTAAAACAATGCAAGGGGCAAATCTTGTACAATGGATACATAACCTCAATAGTTTGAGGTTGAGTCTTGATAGCGTTTTCTATTGGTAAAACATATTTTTATTGGATAACGGAGCATCAAAATTGCATTTGTGGTTTTACCAATCAAAAACTATTAAAGGCGTGGAATGACAGGTTGTAGATTTTATTTTGTACTCGGACTTTAAAGTCTAAATGCAGAGTTTAAATTATGTATTTTCCAAGTTCCAAAAAAATTTGAAAGTTTAAACCCATTGAAAGGAATGTGCACTTTTGTGAAATACAGGCATCCCCCTCACCCCTCCCTCTTTTGGGAAAAATTGAAAGTTCAAGATCAGATACTACTTTCAATCCCTTTCATGGACAGGCTACACTATTAGCGTACCAGAAATTCACCAAAGGCATTAGGAAGGAGAGAATTTGTTTATATGCATCCCTTCATACACTGTTCAAAGACTACTGGCGTCTTCAATAAAGAGAATGTTTTCTTTGTTTCTTCTTTTGGGAAAGAGTAGCACCGCTTTCAGAGGTAGTCTTTTAGATTCATAGGTAGGTATTGCAATAAATAGTACTGCTAAATAAATGGTTTATTTTTTTATTAAAACAATATCGGTTGCCTGATTTGGTATTCCTGTTTATTATGTGTGTTAAATACAAAAGTTGTGGTATAATTATCCCTAGTAAAAAAACAAATGAATATCACAAACTTAGTAAAAAATGCAAATTTGGTAAATTTTTAATGGAACACCCTGTATATTTTTGCAAAAATTGAATAAAAAATGTCCGTCCGCCCGTTTGTCTGTCCGTCCGAACCCACTTCGTCGGTTTTGAATTACGTTTAGGTGAATGGTCCTAGAGTCCTGGAATTTTTTGCAATACGACGTTAAATCGCGTATACGGAGATAGCCGAAGTCGAGCAAGTGTGATACATATATTTCTTCAGAACGATGTGCCCTTTCAAAATACGAGGGTTGTTCCGAAACTAATGCCTCCTATTTTCCGTAGTCGCAATACTGCTGTGGCGTTATCGTGTTGCAGGCGACAGTTGGTCTTCTCTGATCTTACCCTGGAAATACAGGCTTTGAGCTTAGTTAGTGTTGTTTTGTAGTGTTTGGAATTGACAATTGCACAGTCTTCTGAGATAGTCAGGGTGTAGCGCTTTTCTGGAGCACAGAGACACTGTGTCAATTTAGCAATATTTGTAAAGAGAAACCAGGGGTAGTGGAAGCACATTTTCGTACAAGGGATCGAGACAGTGGTTTGGCTTGTAACTCGTAGCTTACACTGTCTCAGATTTAGTTTCTAATAAATTTTTACTTCAAAACGACAAAATGATTTCTACGCTGGCATTTTAATTACTAAAAGTTCCAAATACTTTGTGAAATGTTTTTAACGCCTTCGGGTTTTTGTCGATTTTTTAATCTTTTCATGCTTGTGTACCTTAATTTTTTTAATTTTCTCAATTTTTCAAAATATTCAGAAACATTTTAAAATTAATTTTTTGGAATTTTTGATTTTAATGTTTTTCAAATTTTTCTGAATTAATCTAATTTTGATAAATTTTTTGTTTTCTGTGAATTTGTATTTTGTCCTCGATTTTGTCCGAATTTTCCGGACTTTCGAATTTTCGTAATTTCCAATTTTTCAAATATTTTTTAATTTTTAGAATTTCCGATTTTATTTTTTTTTGTATTGGATGTGCTGACTATTCTGATTTTGAATTTGTATTAATTTATTTTGAAATATATGTATATGCATCAGATTTTCATTTTTTTAAGTCTAAATTTTATGAATGTTCATTTCTCATTTTCGAATTATTACGAGAACTTTAATTTCGTTGAAATTGTGAACTTTCAACTAATTCGAAAATTTAATTTAATTTTTTTTAATTGTAGGCTACTTTAAACTTGATTTTGATTTTGTTAGTTTTTAGAATTTAGAATTACTAATTATTTTATGAATTTTCCTAATTACCCAATTTTTCAAAATAGTTTTCTGATGGTTTTTAATTCTCCCAATTTAAAGTATGATTTTTTTAGAATTTCTACCAACTTGCAAATTTTTGGATATCCGGTAGTTTTTGAGTTATTGGCATAAATAACAAACAAATCAAAAACAATACAATTTGGATAATGATCCATAGTGAAAATTAGACAAATTAAATTGAACACTCAGATAACACTGTTTGACATTGATTTGAAGGACATTCCAAATAAAATGAGTACTACACCTACTCGTAATTAAAATAAGAATATTTCTTTCAAAAAATGCCAATGACTCAATAACTACCAGATATAGGCAATTTACATTCATCAGGAATAGTTTTTGAAAAACCAAAGTTTTTGACATTTTTCGATTGCTAACTTTGAAAAACCGCAAAAGCCCTGGAAACTTTTTCAAGAATTTCGGCGGCCACAAAAAATTCGTTAGGATTCGATCATAAAAAAGAGCGCTCACTTATCCGGAACAGTTTACGAGATATAAATTTTTGAATGGACTCTGGCATCGTCAAATTTGTTTGACAGATGTCTATGACATATAGGTACTTAAATATTAATTGCGTTGATTTTAAAATAAAATAGGGCATTTAGAGAATAATAGAAAATGGTGTTTCTATTTTAAAAATGCAAGACTTTCGGTATATACGGATGCGGCGCCATCTTGAAATTATATTATTTCAACTGTTTCAATTCCAGCGAACGGGCTACATGAATTACCCTGAATATTATGGTGAAAAAGGGTTTTTTATTATTTTTTTTTCAATAAAGGGAGCCTAAACATCGCCTTTGTTTTTTCGCTTCCAAAAATGTAATGACACGACGAGACAAGGTGAAAAACTGGCAGCCTGTGTAGGGTTTGGTCGTTTTCTGGATGCACAAGCGTTGATTAGCTATCTAGCACCCTTCTTTAATGTCTGATATACAGGGTGGCCATTTGAAAACGAAACAGAGCCTATTTTGGGAACCTCAAAACATTTACGAAAAAATCCTCGGACCCGTCAATTTTTGATTCAAGGGGAACCATTTTTTTTGCTAGTTTCGCCCCCCTAAGGGCAAAGCCCTAGCGGGGGTGACAAGTGCTCCCAAACTTTTAAATCGAATGGGGGGTCGAGTGATACCTTATTTTGAAGGTATTTTTATGTGGATTATAACTCTTAAGTTTTAAATCGCTACTAACTTGCCTAGCCGATACAGGGGCTAATAAAAGTTAAAAACGTGTCAACATTTTCTTATGAAAAAAATGCTTGTAAATGAATTAGTTAAATAACAAAAATTAATACAACAGTAAATACAAAAAATGTTGTTCTCCTACATTCTGAACCGTACTTTTTGTTGTTGTTTTTTTCTTTTTAATACCTGTAGGTGGCTATGCCAATTCTGCAACAGAAATCTTGGTTATTGTTGAGAGCGTTACTATAGCAACATTTTGAAGTTTAATAGTGCTTGTCAATTGTTGTCAAATAATAGTAGTGACAAATACACACCTGTCGCTATTGGGCTGATTCAAATCCCAGAATATTTCGTGAGGTGCATACACAACGTACCGAAAAATTGAATGTTTGGGCTGGCATTTTTGGTAACCATATCATAGGCCCCTTCTTTTTACCTGGCAATCTAACAGGAGAGATGTACTTGAAGTTATTAGAAAATACGATTCATCCAGCATTAGTGGAGATACTAGAAAATAACAACGAGTACTTGGAAAATTGTATAGTATTTCAACAAGATGGTGCGCCACCCCACTATGCTGCAAGAGTTCGTCAATATTTGGACCAAACGTTTCCGGAACATTGGATTGGAAGAAAAGGAGCTATTGAATGGCCTCCTCGTTCCCCGGACTTAAGTCTGTTAGATTTTTTTTATGGGGACATTTAAAAACTAAAATTTATGCTAGTCAGCCAACGTCGCTAGAGAACTTGCGACAAAGAATAATTGATCATTTACTTGATTGATTTTAGCTTTAAGCACTTAAAATAAAACCGATTTAAATCTTAAGAGTTATAATCTACATAAAAATACCTTCGAAATAAGGTATCACTCGTTTTGAGGTCCCCAAAATAGGCTCTGTTTCGTTTTCAAATGGCCACCCTGTATACCTATTTTATGTCAGGTTGACATTCTTACCTCCTAAGACAGAAGCTGTAATATCCGGAAGTTTGGTTTTACGAGCAGCTGTCAGATTTGGCAGAGCTAGACCCTATAGCTCACAAGCACCAAATATAATTTGACTCACAAGGCAAGCCTAAAAAATGTTGAGTGTGAAGCAATTATAACTGTGTGTTATAAGTCGAGAACTATTTTAATAGTTCTTGTAGTGGCATTGGCAGTTCTACTCTTTCTTTAACACCGTGGCAATCTGCAAACTAAAGTATTAGACGCAATGTAGAGACCTAGACTTACACCCATACTGAGGGTCGAAGAAGCTCTAGAATTGCGCTAGAACACTTAGTAACAATTCTGAATTTAGACTAGAGACTTGAAATTCAGACTTATTACGCTCCAAATGCGTACATTAAAGTCTGAGTACAAAAATGTGGCCCCTCTGTGACTTTGTATTGAACTTTCTGCATGGGCACAGTTATTTGGAATAATAACAAAAGCGCATTTAATCTAAAGCTAGTACTCGCTTTGAGCAAACCTGTGTTTTCATTCGAAATACAGGAAGTCATATTTTGTAGATAGTAATAAATGTAATATGCTTCTAGGAAGAAATAAAAACATGCAAATCCATTCTTCAAAAAAGTACGAGCCGCTCGCCTAATTCAAACGCTCACCGAGTCACCTTTAACATCACCAGTGTAGTTATGGATAACTTTAACACTCCAATTCCGACACGGTTTCCATCGGACGATGAAAAAGAACACACCTATCGTAATAGAGGCAGAACAAGTTTCCCAATTAAAACACCTACAACCGCATCTAAAAAAGGATTTTCGCCTGCCGTTAACAAACTCCACGCCGGGGCGACGCCAGCAAACCTAAAAACTACCGACAAGAAGGTTTTAAAAAGGGGTACCATGCCCGATTATTCCAAAATACATCAAAAAATGTACGACAAAATGTTAAACATTCAAGACTACAAAGATCAGAAAATGCGACGCGCGAAATTACTCCTGTCCGGTCGCAAACCTGACTCTGGCACCAAGACGAACAATCTTTCAACGACCAAAACGAACAATCCTTCAACGACCAAAACGAACAATCTTCCGCAGGCTGCCTCTGCGAAAAAGCAGGTCCACAGGAAGCTTAGTTTTTCGCGAGTGCCAACGTCAGACCAAGTATTAAATAACTCAAAGAGTGTGACCAAAAATAAAAGTCCGACGAGAAGACGGGAACAAGAACTATCGATAAAGAATAAAAGTAATCCCGTTCGGAGTAGTATGGAGAATATTAGAACGGAAATAAAAGGTATACGAAGCAATAGGCGATTTGAACTTTTAATGAAATTTCGTAGAGGTCAATAACTCTACTTTTTTTAATATTTGAATTTTTATGTTCGATTTTGTAGAAAGTTTATCTTCTTTTTGTAGTTTAAAGGTTTTGAGTGAAATGATATACAGTTGTTAACATATGGTAGTGATTACAAATAAAAATTCTATTTTTATTTATGTATAACAACCCTGTATGGGGCGGCAAATAATACTCATTGGGCATTAATTGATGTACAGATTTTAAGGTAGTGGCTGAGTATGTCTTGTTAAAGATCTAATTAAGGTTTTAAAGGGTCGGTAAAAAACGGAAAATTTCGGCAAAAACCTGTTCTTTTCGTTTTTTCTCGGGAGTAAGAAAAAATTGTTGGGAAAACTTGGATGCGCATATCCAGTAATATAAATGTATCTACTAAGGGGCGGACTGACCCGGGGGGGCGGGTGGCGGTTGCCACCTGGCCTGTAGATCATAATGGTCCGTTGGAAATTTATAAGTATGTGCTGTATTTAGTTTCTTGCACTTATAATAAATTATTAACACGTTTCTCTAATTGGGGTTGATATTAGGTTGTTAAAAAATGTTGTTTTAATTGAAGTGTTTTACAATGAATTTATCATTTTTTGTCGTAGCATGAAAGTGCTGAAATACAATGATAGGCGACGCACCTCGTGTGTATTGTATATTTTGTTACTTTTAATTATCAGCTGCAATTTAAAAAAAACTATGGTTCTATAAGAAAACTTTTTTCCGAGACGATCTGAGACAATTTTTTCTTCGGGGCTCAAAAAAAGGCAGTGTATTACCTTCCTTTTTTACCAAAAATTGACTACACCAAAATTTCTAGGGCGATAAGCAGTGAGCAACTGTCAATACGCAACATTTTTGAGATTTCAACTCTATAGCAATTCCAGACGCCACTGCGAAGTGCTAATTACTAATTGGGGTATATTCTAAAAGAGGGGTATTATCGGTCGGTCATGTTTGAACTAAAAAAAGGCGGTTATTTCAAACTACTATGTAAATCATAGACTTAACTTTTGGACGTTGAGTGTAATTTAAATTATAATAGATAAATACTTTTGTTAATACTACCCAGAAATTTGGTCATTTTATAGGAATTTGTTTAAGGTAGTTATTTATATAAGAAGAATGGAACGCCAATACCCGGTTATTTAGTGGTGAATTTTGAACGAAGTGTATGGCCAACGACATTTTACCCGTACAATTTTGAAGAACGAAGCCTATGGCCACCTTATCATTTGTGGTCGAGGTATCTAGCATATTTCATTTTTCACATTTAATTTTTAAGACTCGCTTTACTCATTATAAAAATGAAACAATTCTATCTCAACAGGTTATGCACCCCTAGAGAAAATAAAAATGCACCTTGCATAACATATACAAAATATACAATAAATATTTTTGAATTTGAATAGCTCATCTTGTCTTAAGGCTAAAGTTTTATAACATGGTCAATATTGCGGAATATTGCTTTTTAGAGCGCTCTATTTTCTATGATTTCTTAGATGCCACCACCACCACGATTTATCATTCCAATCCGGATAGCGTGTCCATCCGTTAGGACCCCAATACCAAGGGCCATTCCATGACCAAGGGCTCGTCGGGGCACTTGGCTGGTGAGGATTTGGCCACAACGAACCGGCTGTACCATTTGGGTAATAATACCGATTACCATCCCAATGACCATTGGTAAATCCTATCTGTGGCTTCGATGAGACGTTCAGCACGACGCATGCCAATAATAAAAAAAACATTTCCTGCAAACATACTCACTTAGAATATATTTAGGTAGCACCACTCACCTTTAACATTCTTGCAAAAATATAACATTCGCGCTATGTCTACCTTTTTATATAACTTCTATAGGTAATTTAAATCATTACCTACAGTTCCCCAATTTAATGGTAATCCCATATCATTGTACGATTATTTTAATAATCCTGTTATTCATTATAAGTAGAAAAATTATAAATTATATAATGAATCACCTACACTTTTGTTAACAAAAAAGACGCAAATGCAGAAGGATTATTTAATTTAACATTAGTATTACAATATGCGTATGTAAAAATGTCAGTAAATTAACCATGTCGCCAACCCCATCCGTAATTGTTGTTCAATTGTAGTCCATTATTAAACAATTTTCCATTCCATCCACCATTCCTCCAACCATAACTGCCGTAACGATGAAGACCCAAGTTGTTGTTATTAGTCCAAAAGGGCACGGCGGTAGTTGCGATTATTAATAGTGTTAGAGTAAACAATTTAAGCTGAAAAGATTATGCTTATGGGTAAAGAGAATGACTGAATATATACCTACCATCAACATCTTTGTTGTTATATTAAATGGAACTGAGCTCGACTGGTGGTTTTGGTCTTATATAGACGATGGTATAGACCTACTGAGTGAATTAATTCAGCTCTAGGTTAACGGTAATAAGGGCAAGCTGAAGGTAAAACTTCAGCAAAGGCTTTTATTTCATAGCGCCAAAGTTTGTTTGCAACTTAAAGGCGGTATAAACTAACTGTATTTATCCAAAGCGTATGGGTCATTAGTTAATAAACACCCAGTAGATGTGTACTTAAAGCGGTGGAATGTGAAAAGAAATAAATCTTTAACTACTTTCTATGGTTAACAACCTTAGAATCAAAATATTTTGAAGATTTTATCCAACTCATCCTTGCTTTAAGGTGAAGGACTTCCACTTCAGTCATCCGTCCGCGCCATTAAGTATAGCCCAAAAGGGAGGCAACTTCGACTTTCTCTCGCATTTCTTCATGGGTTCATCGGTCCCTTTAATCTCTGATTTTTCTTTAATGCTATAATTCTACATTTTGATGCCAGCGGGATTGCTACGTCGTGCCCACAATTATAGTACATTGACATGATTGAATTCTCAAGAATTTTAAAATTGCATTTTTTATTGTTTTGAGATTGTGCAGAAAACATTCACGAGGTATACAGCGTGTCCCAGGTAATAACGCTTAATCGGGAAATTGCAAAGTATTTTTTCGCGAAGGATCGACGAGGCCTTTGAAATTAGCGCTCAACGTACTACTCCAGTCTCTTTTTAGCATCAGGCAAGCGCAATAACGTACGTTGAACGCTAACTTTAAATACATATCAGCGGCGTCGTGGATCCTTCGCGAAAAAATATATTAACACTGTCTGCCTATGGTGCGTTCAACCTGGGACACACGGTCTATAGAAATGTAGGTACCTAGGACTCAATTGTTGCAAAAGCTCTTTGAGTGTTTCTATCTCTAATTACATGATGTACTCTAAGTACGTGATGACAGCACGGTTATTTTTTTTTTTTACAAAATTTAATCTACATGAGTTCGGAAAAAACCTGTATTTTGGAAACTACCTTCACGGTTTTTAAACATATCGCTTAATTAAATTCTGACTTCCGTTATTTGTTGTTTACCAATAAAAACTCTACAGCTAATAATTTCAAATTGCTTCCGTGGGTATTTACATTTTTATATGATAATGTCATCGTTTATATGTAAGGTAATTATAATTATTCACAATTATTAACACGAACTATTGTTATATATTTTATGTATTATAAAACTCAGACAATTAGCAGTGGTAGAACGCCAAAAATGTTTTTGGTCGTTTTTGGTATTTGCTACAGATGGTTTTACCTCGGGTTTTTTACTCGTATAAGTATAACTGTGAATGAAGGAAATTTCTTTACTCAACGGTATGCATTTTTAGCGCATTTCCACAAAAATAAAAAAATCGCGCTATTGCTGGCCACTTTGTCCGTCCGTCTGTCCGTCTGGTCGCTAGATCCTTGTCTTAATAACTATTGTTCTACTTTTTTCGCTATTTGGTTCATATTATGGTGTCGAGGCTGGCACCAAAAAGGGATTTTTTTGTGTCGCTTAAGAAATAAGTTATGCCAAAAAAATCTATTGTTTGGTATTGTATGGTTATCCACCTTTTATAGTTTCCATTTTTTTCTATTTCTCCGAAATATCGCAGAAATTTATCGGCAACATTCCGAAGATGGGTTATTATTATAATCTTTTAACGTAATTGAAATTTTAATTAATATTAGTGAGTTTGCGGATGTACATTTTACGTTTCTTATAACCGTAAAAAAGCTTAAGAATTATACCGTATAAAGACACTATTATACCTTATGTTTATAAATAACGTAAACCAATCAAATTCCAGCAACAACAAATTTATCCGCAAGCGCGTTTCACTAAATTTCCCTTACGTTATATCATAAGAAAAAATGGCCGTCTAACGTAACGGAAAATACGTGTCCGCAAACTCACTAAAAAACCCTAACCATAGAGTGAAGCAGCGGAAATGTCATAATGGAATCAGAAGTGGAAACAAAAGACAAAGTATTTTTGTGCGGAAGCGGAAGAAGAAACGGAAGAAGAAGTAAAAGTCATAAAAATAAAAACGTACGAATTGTTGCGACGAAATAATGAGATGCATGAAAGTAAAGAAAGACCTGACGGCCGACTCTCCTGACAAACCCCTCACGCGGCTGATGCCACGCGCCGTCCCGTTCGGCCAATCAGAGCGCGCCTTGCCACATTTGAAAAATTCCGGTATACTTCCGTTTTAAAATAGCGGAATTGGAGGGGAAAGTGAAAAAATATGCAGAACAGAAGCGGGAGCAGAGGTATGTTGCACCACTACAAAGAAGACTTAATTACTCTTTGCTTAGGTATTGCACGAGCTGCTACAGAAATTAAATGCGGTGGCGTTGGTCATATGGTTTGTACCTGCATTTGCACTGTTGGGAGGATGTAGTGTATAAGGTATGTCACAATTTGTCTCATTAAGAATTTTTGAATGTTTCCAAAAAACCTAATGTTCAAATCTGCTTGGTGTCAGACTCCATCTACCAATAATTTTATACTAACCCTTCTCTTACTAACGTGCGCGGGTGGTAAAAAAAAAACTTAAACCTACAAATAAACCAAAAAAGGCAAATCACCTCAATACAATTAAACTCTAAAGGTGGGTTCATAGCTCTCCGTTCATCCGTTGCGTTGATCCGTCAAACGGATAGTACATTTTGTTAAGGTTCATAGCAATCCGTCCACATTGTACATTTGCAAGTATAATCATAACGTAAACTTTATTTTGTACTGTACCGTCAGTGATTTTCAGTATGTAAAAATGGTACGAAAGTAAGAACACATTGCTATCTGGCATATTACCGTGAAGAACGAGTAGGCGAACGTTGTTAACGTACCAAACATAACCTCACTCTTGTTAAAAACGGACCAACGGAAACGTAAATGTTCAACTTCAACCAACTTTTCCGTCGTAAACGGACGACGTATTTAAAAATTTGCTGTCTTCTGATTGGCTAACGGACAAACGGAAACGTATGAACGGAGAGCTGTGAACTTACATTAAGCCCAAAGTGACGCTTGACAGGGTCCTTCTAAACACAGACCAAATTAACATTATTGTGGTTCACGTACCATCATAACAACCGGAAACGCGTTTAGTTTCCGTTTATTTTTAAATTCAAATATGTACCGAAATGACTAAACACAACTTTTGCATTTTCTACGCGTTCTACCCTGTACTATACTTCTTGAAAAACGTTCAATATTAACCCATCCAATTAAAAATTTAACAATTATTAGGAATAAATTTAACGATACTATGCAACTCATTGAACAATCCAAAATCCGCACAAAAAAAAACAAAGTGGCCATTGGAAAAAAAATAAATGAATCATAGTGTACATCAAACGCCGTCATTCTTTTTGTAACATTGAAAATGGATTTGATTAATGAAATGAGAGATTCTGGTAAATATGCTTTTTAATTTACTGAAAAAAACCCATTAATTCCATCCCTTAGATTGCGATAGATACCAGTCTAGCTGTAGTAGCGTCGACGGAAATGACTCTGAAATGGACGACGCGCTACGCGTTTTTAAGATGCCCGATCTGCAAGGGCAAGCGGTACGAAAACGTCGTGGAAATCTTCCCAAGCATTCCGTGAAGATTTTAAAACGGTGGCTTTACGATCACAGATATAACGCTTACCCCAGCGACGCAGAGAAATTGACGTTGTCGCAAGAAGCAAATTTGACAGTGTTGCAAGTATGCAACTGGTTCATTAATGCTAGGCGAAGAATTCTGCCGGAAATGATCCGACGAGAGGGGCAGGATCCCCTGCATTACACCATTTCGCGTAGGGGTAAAAAATTAAACACCGCTGGGGCGTTTAACGGTGGTTTAGGTCACAATAACTGGACTGTTGATAAACGAATCCGTCTAGATTCGGATTACAATGACAGTTTAACGTATCTATACCAAGCTGATGATGATAGTCTCAATGCGTATGGAAGCTCCGGCGAAGAAGATAAATTTTCTTGGTCAACGAATTTTCCTTTAAATTTCTTGCCAAGCGATATTGATGCAAACGAAATGTAGGTAATAGTGTTTGTAATCTTCAATTATCATTTTCTCGCAGGAACAATGCTGAGATTGCAGGACCTTCGACCAATGAACCATTATATTCACAGTTGGCCCATACTCCCAAATTTTCGCAACAACTATTCAATTCGCATCCTAAAGTCATAGTGTTACCGGCACTTTCCATCGAACCGATGCATTTGTCAACTCGTCCATCCCATCCTCCAGACGAGGAGAAATTTAAGTATTTACGTATGCTAAGCGAAACTGCTGTTGCTGTTCAAGAACGCGAAAGAGAAATGACAAGTTTTTGTGATAATTAGTGGGCATAGAACAAGATCTTATTGTTCTGCATTCTTATTCGTTGACCGTTTATAGAGCGTGTATGATCAGAGATAAGATTACTTTTGCTGGAAGTTTGATTCGTTGCCATACAGTTTTAAGTGTTTACTACAGTGTTGCTTTACATTATTAATGTGTACCTAGTTAAAAAAGTTCATGTAAATAATCTAAGTTATCATTGCGCAACTGGTAGCAAGACATACGTTCCTGGAATAATCGAGAATTTTTTTTTTCAAAAATTACCCTAGTAAAAGATAGAGACAGAGGTGATGCTTTCTGGTAGCGGCGTTACAGTACGTTGCGCCGGTGTAGCTTGCGTTCACTGCCTTTGGAGCAACAGGTGAAGGTTCCTGTCAGCGACTTTTATTGACAGAACTGTCAGGCTATTTAAACAACCCCAGAGATGTCAAATGCAGCTGTGTCACCGATGAGGGTAATGCTACGCTGTGGGTAAACGATAGGACCTGGATGAACCTACGTTATGGGCGAACAGTGCTTGTTAGAGTCCTGGTGAACAATAGGGCCAGGGAGAATCTTCTTCCCTATGAGGAAAAAAAGTCTGAATTTTTATGGTACTCGTGTTTTATTCCTCCGACATCCTTGACTATAGCGATTGTTAGTATTGATTGACTGATAGTAATTGTTTAATTAAAAAAAAATCTTACCCCCATTTTCACCATGTCTTGAACAACTCCGCCTATGCTCGTAAGTGCCGCCACTGACATACAATCAGCTGCTTTTCCATCAAACTTCAAAGAAATGTGAGGTTGGAATTCTCACAATAATCAAACGTCAGTTTTTCAAATCTTAAAGTGATTATTAAATGTGTGCAGTACATTTTTATTTAAAAAAATGGAACAGGTTCGTATGATCGTGCAACAGCAAGGGCGCGAAGCTCGCAACCTTCTCGCCTTCAATATATCCATTGATGACAATTTTGGTTTGTGATTCATTCTTTGTTTAAATATCAATGTTTAGAATGGTGTTGCAGGGAAGGTGTCACGAAAGCCACCGTGTCCACCGCGTATAATCGAGTCAAAACAGGCAAATGCAGTTTGTAACAGTAGAGGTGCTCGCATTAGATCAGCCTCCACAGGTCGTGACAAAAAATCGGATCTTCGGGCGAGGTATTGGGCGTTTTTGTTTGGAAATCTACAGCGTTCTGTAATCTTGTACATTAATAAATTACGAATTTTCTAAAATTTATTTTTAAGGTTGTGGAGATTTACAATACAGTTGAAAGTCATGACAGTATTACGGAATGTCGCGAGGTTATCTTAGTGTTAGAGAACTATCTACGTGATTTCCAGGCGTTGTCAGAGTGGTTTCAGCTAAAATGGGAATATGAACGCACGCCCATACCACAGAGACCTACATCGCTAGCTTGGGAAGTTTCCAAAACAAATTTAACCAAGAATCCTTCAGGAAAATCCAGCCCTAGTGTTGGTTCAGGTCGAAATAGTCCTAATGTTTCTGGAAAGATAAGTCCACGATGCTTGACCAAGTGTAAATCGACGTGTACCAGTCCTTTGCCCACCGAAGAGGTGAAGGAATCTGCAGGTTCCGGTGATTGTCGAAGGCAGGCCGTCGGCGTTGTTACAGATTTGAAACCTCCATGTGCGGATTCTCAACCTCAAATGATAGATTCCCCTAGTGAAGATCAGAAAACTTATGACACATTTCGTAAAGTGGGCGTTGAAAGTTCCGAAAAGGGTATAAATACCGATGTACTTCCCAGTGCATTGCCTCGGAAGCAATGTTGTACAAAACAAGAGCAAGCAAGCCAAACAGATGATGTCGAAGATTGGAAGAAGAGCACTACTGCTGTTAAAGTATCAAAAACTGAACCGAATAAAGTAGCCAAATCCAAACCCGCATATTCTACTGCATTAATCCGTAGTGCTGTACCAAAATCTACCCCTACCAAATTGTTACCCAAACCCCCCACCACAGTAAAAATTCCACCAAAAGTATCCAAACCTCCGCTCTCTAAGGGCCTACCAAATTCTGGTCTGGCACGTAGCAAAACTGTGGGCGACATGAAGATTTCTAATTCAATTTACTCGGCGAAATTGAAAAATGTTGCAAGTAAACCTAAAGCAAATGCACCTCTAAAACCAACAGTAGGTGTAAATAGACCTAAATCGACTTTGTTCACTTCCGTCAAAAAAGTAGGAAGTCACCTTAATAGCTCAGTTGAAACCATCATAAATCAGGGTACATCTTCCGAGAATATTTCCAATAACAACATTGGAAGTTCAGTTGAAACGATAACCGAAAATATGCAGAAGAATTCGCAAACTGATGGGTGGTTAACTGTAAAGTGTAGATCACGATTTAAAAACTCTGCCGGTAAACCACGCCAATCAGATGGTGATCTGAAATGGTCGAAACGTTTTCATCAGGTTACATCGACCGCAAGCTTACCAGCCTTAGCTTTTCTACCTGACTCGATTGAGTCTATTACAACCCCCCCTTCTGTGTCGGAAACTGCATCAAAGCCGAAGCAGTATTTGAAACGGTCCCACACCACTTTGAGCCGAATTTCAGATGCAAAACCGAAGTCTTTAACTGCCAAGCTGCAGTCGACACGGGAGAAGGTAGAGGAGGCGAGAAAAAGTTCCGAGTTAGATTCGGAAACGGACGACGAGGTGAAAAATAAAGAGGTGCAGGACGATTTGGCGTGCGAGGAGGAGCACAGACAGAAAACGCAGCAGCTGACCGAGGAGGAGGAGCGATTAACACAGGAAATCGCGCAATTGCAGGGTTTGCAGATCGAAATCGACACTGAGACTGATGGCACCGAAACCGATGGCGAACTTCAGTGCGACAACGAGGACGGGGAGAACCTGGTTCAGTTGATCCAAGATGAAGACACGTTGTCTTTGGAGGCTAGATATGAGCCGATGTTGGCAGGTTAGTTTTTATTGTATTCTACCTAGTTATTGCATTCATGGCTAAAGATGACCATCAGACAGTTTTGCACATACAGGGTAACTCTTTAAAATGTTCGATGGGCCATATCCTTTTGTCCTATCGGGGACATTGAAAGAAATACTCAGAACTTGTCTCGGAGTATGGAGATCTGAGCGTACAAGAATATTGCTACTTTCAATGACCTGCCTCCCACCATCCCTACCCAGAAAATTGCAACCTTGCATGTATAACACATCATTGGAAACCTCAGTGACGGCAAAGAGCTTCCCAATGATGTATTACAAGTTGTAGGTTGCAATTTTTAACTTTGGGGTAGGGGCGGCGGAGGCAGGCTGTTGAAGGGAGGGGGAGTCCCTCCCTAACAAAGAAATTATTTTCAGTATTGATATCTTTAATAGAAAAAAAATATCAAAAGATCATCCTGTGAGATCGAAGGGACTTCAACACATTTTTGTGTGGCAGATCGGTATTCTATTAGCCAATTATGTGCTAAAAAGTTATGGCGGATAATTTTGTCGGTAATGAACACGACGTGACAGAATTATGTATGTCAAATAAATTTAAAAAAAACACTACATACATTTATTGAACTGTTGCAATATTTATACAGGGTGAATAAAAAGTAAGGAACATTGATGCTGGAGTCGTTACTATTGGTCATATCAAAAAAAGTGGAATGATTAAATATTTGCCACAATCTGACAGTTTTCAATTTTTTTTCTGTCATAGTTTCAGAGTGTGATGTCATCGCAAAAATGCTTAAATGACAACCTATTTTTTTTGGCAATGCTAGATAGTACTTTGTTTTCTCTCGTATTTCTTGTATTTTTTTTCGAATACAAGTTTTCAGTACAAATGTCTAAATCACGAAACTATAAATAACAAATTTGAAAATTAAATGCCATATTTCTCAAAATTTTTCTTAACTAACCTTGCGATTTTTTCACATGGACGTAAAGAGAAAACAAAATACTATCTAACATTGACAAAAAAATATAGGTTGCCATTTAAGACTTTTTGCGATGACATCACATTCTGCGAGTACTTTGCGGCCAATCGGCAGTTAGTATGGTAACTTTCAATGAATCAATTCTTTTTTTGAAGAATGTGGACCTTGCCGTTTTATATTTCCTACCAAGGGGAATTTTGTATGTGGCATTTTGGTGTGCAAGAAATGGCATTGCTATGGAATTTATTGGAATTAAATTCATGAGTTAGTCATCTGGGCCTTAGGGCAACAGTATTTCAGTTGCGTTCGTAACTCGTAATTCGTATATTCATAATACATATGTACGCGCATTGACCCGTGTGAAGCTATCAACCAGAATGTAGCAGCCAAAATGCTGAAAACGTACGAAAGGCCAGTAGCGTCACTTATTAAAAACCAATTTACGCATGCACTCTTCCATAGCAGCCATTTTCCAGTAGCCAAACTAAAATTTATTTTATATTCCTCTATTTGGACTAATATAAAGTCGAGGGGTGGCCCACTCCCTTAAATAGGTGTACATGCGTATTTATAAATACTATTAAATACAGGAAATACAACTAATTCCATTTAAATACTGTTAAATACTAATAAATAATAATAATAATAGCGTTGGCTATTGTGCCCATCAATAGCTATGTTGGTAAGTATGAAATACATACTATCTCTAGATTTCCAATGTGAGGGTGTCAATTTTTATTTTATTTATTTATTTCTTTTATTTTTTTTAGGACCCTACATAACTTCACCAGACACAGACACAGACACTAATCGTTACTTGATTTTAATCCGTGCGATTAGTTAACCAGGCTAGACCTGAGTTCTCACAAGAAACACCGACCATAATAATAATGTTTATTCCCACAAAAACAACTAATAGAAAAACAAAAATAAAATTAATAAAGAAAATAAGAATAATGTGAGAAAGGACCTTTAAATACCAAAAAATACATTAAAATTCCTATAAATACTTAGTAAATACTTGTAAATCCCTTTAAATTCCCGAATTGTTACGAAATATTATTTTGCTTATTGTCAGCATCTTGACACGAAACAAATGATGACACATCAGAGCTACAGGTACAACGTTAGTCCCTTATTAGTTATTACAGTGAAGTGAAGCAGTGTTAATCGCGGTGTTAAACAAAGATTCTGTGGTGTTTTTTCTTCATCGAGTGCAGCTATATCTAAGATAAGATTTTTTTATAGTTGTTTTTTGAACGCGTGTAATAGGAAATTGCGTAAACCAATCTTCACGTTTCCGAGAACACCGCCGCGCCGAATGGCAATTTTTGTTTGCTCATGTTTACTTTCAAAATTTTGTTAGTTAAAATCAGCTGTGTTTGATTACAGTGAAGAGATATCAGTTAGGTACAATTTTTGTAGGTTGTACACAGAAAAATAAGGTCTTTAAAATACTTTTTTAAATTTTTGCTTGCTATTTGAAAAAACCACGCCGTTGTGGCGCGTCAAAATTATCTGGTTTTGATAATCAAATAAGCTTATCAGAAAAAAGTGATGATGATATAAAATCAGTAGAAGATATTGCTAAAGTTAATATCCCAAGAACATTTAAGAATAATTATGAAAAATACTTAGGGGATTTTAAAGCTTTATGGTTCAGTGGTACAGGGTTGGACTATAAATCCGAAGGTCGGGTGTTCGAACCTGGGTTGAGGTGAATTTTTCATCTGTGGCAGAGATGGGAATTACCTTAGATCAGTTTCGAGCATTCTGCTGGCTACTCCGAATTAGGTTTTCTTGCAGTTTTCCAAATTCCTAAGGTAAATACCGGTGTAGTATAGAACAACTTAAGACCTTCTGCAGGGGCACCCCTAAAAAGCATTATGCGGGTCACTCTGTAATTGGGCGCAAGCCTGTTGAGGGCCCAGAACAAGAGAGGTATAATAAATAAAATAAAAAAAAGCTAGTTTGCCATTATTGAAAAAAAACTCAAAGATTAAAAAAAATGTTTGGAAAGTAAAATATCGTCTTTTTTTGTTTATCTTTAGTGTTAGTGCTATGAAACTCCGATAAATTCCTTAAAACCGAGCTTAAAACCGTTGTTTACTTATTATCCCAAATATGATAAACAAAACGCTCTCAAAATACTAACGTGGATCTTCCATATTACCATATACAACACCGTATCTAATATGTCTAAATATCATTAAATACACTTAAATACGCTTAAATACCATCAAATACATAAACTAAATATCCCAAAATACTATAAATATCAGTGAAATATGTCAAATACGTTTAAATCCCACAAATACCTTTAAGTTTATATGTATTTATAAATAAGTGTACAAATTTTAGGCAGTGGGCCCCTCGTATAAAGTTTTTAAAAAAAAACATAAAACAATTAAAAATTGCCGCCACCTTTCGCAAAGAGATTTCACATCCTTACATTAATAAATGGTTTTGAATTTACTTTAGTACATGTCTTTAAAAAATTGAAATAATGAAATAATGAATTTATTCCGCCACTAATCGTTTACAAAATATACAAAGGTATAGAAATTCGGAATTACGTTGGTCACAGATACCAGTAGTAAGTGACCGACGCTAGATAATATTTAAGTATATAAAAATAAAAAATACAGAGTCCAGTTCACTAAGGTAAAAAACAGAAAACAAAATGCCTCTCCACATGGCGTCTAACAGAGATTAAGCTAATCTTATGCTAGAAAAAATAAGGTACATGCATATTTGTATTTAACAAATCACAACAACAAAAGATATTAATATGGCTTCCGGATTTGAAAACTGAATAATTTCTAAACAAAAGATAACACTGAATATAACAGCATTAGGACAACACATAATTCAGTACATTGATGTCTTCTTGGGATAATAGCCATGATTTAATCTTATTACAAAAAGCGGTAATATGGGAGGATTTTATATCACTGGGCAGTTGATTGAAATACTTAGGTCCTATATATTGAAGCGATTGTCTAAAAATGATTTATTTACTTTTGGCAGCCTGAAAATGCGCTGCTCTCTGCCTCTTGTTACGTATAGGAGGTCAGTGGTACCAATATTCCCGCTTCTTGCATAAAATATTCTCAAGACCTTATGTACATACAGATGTTGTATGAGCAGTATTCGTAACTGAGTGAACAATTGAAAAGAGCTTTCTCGTTTACTTCGATGAAGCATCACTCGTATGAGATAATTTTGAGTCGTTCTTAATTTTTCAATAAAAGTTTTGAAAGCTCCGCCCCAAGCCGTATTGTAGCCTTGAATCAATTAAAGCAAAATATATATGGCTCTCATCAGGTCGGCGGAACAGAAATTTCGTAAAAAGTAAAAAATTCTTACGGATGACTTCAACTTTTTGTGTAACGTATTTATGTGTTTTTCCCAGTTAATATATTTTCGTCTAGAATTACTCCTAGATATTTGAAATTATCGACTTTGTCGATTTTTTGGCAACTGCAGTTAAACTGTAGACAATTAAAAACGTGATACTTTAAATCAGAATCAAAAGCAAAACTATTCATTATACTAAAGTTAATGTATTTTGTTTTATTAACATTCACTTCCATTTTGTTTACGTGGCACCATGCACTTATTAATTTTAAATCTTCATTAGCTTCTGCTTGTATATCGTTGTATCTCTTTTGTGAATAAAAAAGCGCTATGTCATCTGCAAAAGCACTTACGCGCTCAGCGAACGGCAGGTTCAGTAAATCGTTAATGAATATTAAGAATAAGAGTGCCGACAACACAGATCCTTGAGGGACCCCAGATTTTACAAAAAGAGGTGAACTATAGTCAGGGGCGGACTGACCCGGGGGGGCGGGTGGCGGTTGCCACCTGACCTGTAGATCATAATGGCCCGTAGGAAATTTATAAGTATGTGCTGTATTTAGTTTCTTGCACTATTAATAAATTATTAACACGTTTCTCTAATTGGGGTTGATGTTAGGTTGTTAAAAGATTCTGTTTTAATTGAAGTGTTTTAGAATGAATTTATCATTTTTTGTCGTAGCATGAAAGTGCTGAAATACAATGATAGGCGACGCACCTCGTGTGGATTGTACATTTTGTTACTTTTAATTATCAGCTGCAATTTAAAAAAAAACTGTATGGTAATTTTCTATAAGAAAACTTTTTTTCCGAGTCGATCTGAGACAATTTTTTCTTCGGGGCTCAAAAAAAGGCCTTCCTTTTTTACCAAAAATTGACTACACCAAAATTTCTCGGGAAAACACTTTTTCTTATTAATTTGGGTGCGTAGAATCCAAATCAATTCGTACTTTTTCGATCAGAGTTCTCAATCAAAAGTTATAGACTAGAAACCAATTTCGAAAAAAAATTCAAAGGGCTGTAACTTTTGAACTAGTAGCCCAATCTTGGAACTGTTTGAAATTATGGATTCTACAGGCCCCATTCTATAAGAAAATTTTTTTTCCGGGTCGATCTGAGACAATTTTTTTTTCGGGCCTCAAAAAAAGGCAGTGTATAACCTTCTTTTTTTACCAAAAATCGACTACACCAAAATTTCTCGGGAAAACACTTTTTCTTATTAATTTGGGTGCGTAGAATCCAAATCAATTCGTACTTTTTCAATCAGACTTCTCAATCAAAAGTTATAGACTAGAAACCAATTTCGAAAAAAAATTCAAAGGGCTGTAACTTTTGAACTAGTAGCCAAATCTTGGAACTGTTTGAAATTATGGATTCTACAGGCCACATTCTATAAGAAAATTTTTTTTCCGGATCGATCTGAGACAATTTTTTTTTCGGGGCTCAAAAAAAGGCAGTGTAATACCTTCCTTTTTCACCAAAAATCGACTGCACCAAAATTTCTCGGGAAAACACTTTTTCTTATTAATTTTGGTGCGTAGAATCCAAAACAATTCGTACTTTTTCGATCAGACTCCTCAATCAAAAGTTATAGACTAGAAACCAATTTCGAAAGAAAATTCAAAGGGCTGTAACTTTTGAACTAGTAGCCCAATCTTGGAACTGTTTGAAGTTATGGATTCTACAGGCCACATTCTATAAGAAATTTTTTTTTCCGGGTCGATCTGAGACATTTTTTTTGTTACTTTTAATTATGAGCTGCAATTTAAAAAAAAACTGTATGTTAATCTATGCAATTCCACCTGGCCCTTAAGTACCCAGTCCGCCCCTGATCATAGTAATGTTGGATCCTGACTTTTTGTAATCGATGGGTGAGAAAACTACAAAACCAGTTTAGAACTACTCCTCTAATTCCTATAGCTTCTAACTTTGATAGTAAAATGACATGATCCACTAGGTCAAATGCCTTTTTAAAATCTATGAACAGACCTGTTATTTTTTTACTAGCATTTAGGCCGTTATGAATCAATTCGGTAACAATGGACAAGGCATCTTCAGTGGACATTCCTGATCTGAATCCAAATTGCCACGGGCTTAAGAAATTAAATCTATTTAGATACTTAATGAGTCTGTTTTTCATTAATTTCTCTAGAATCTTTGAAAACACCCATAATAAGCTGATTGGCCTTATATTCAGCCTTACAGTAGGCTCTTTTTTTGAAAATTGGGACTATCACGCTTAATTTTAAGATTTCAGGGAATTGGTTTTTCAAGTCTCTTATTACGTCGAGTATTTCAGTATTTGTTACTGGGGTAACAAAAAAGGATTGCGGGTAGCAGGAATACCAGGAATACTTAAACCAAGGTTTTCGTATCCTGCGTCATTGTTGACCTGACTTTGAACCCTGATGAGGTAACGATTCACCTCTTCAGCTATCTTACTCGGCTCTGTGATCACCTCTCCGTTTTGTAGTTACTACTCACTATCACTACTAACTATCCGTGTAATAGGGTGAAATCGACCCCCAAGGCAAGTATCTATCTTTGAAAACAGTACACTGCAGTTTCAACCAAAATACTACACACGGTACATTGCATATATAAAAAGTCTGAGTTTGAGTGCTCCTGGTACTTTTATAAAAACATTAAACTCTGTTAAACTTGATGGTTTATTGAACAAACTACATTTTTCAATTTAAAAGACCCTAATTTCTTAATTTACCAGTCGGTAAACATTGGCTGCTCATACTTTTCTTCAACAGGTTTAGTATTCGTAGTAACTAATTCGTTGCCATCCAATATAATCTTACGCAGTTTCGGTAACCCGCGCAAGTAATTAACCGGCAAAGTCTTTATTCGATTATTCTCCAAGTCTAGTGTTTGCAAATTGTTCAAGCCCTCGAAGACATCCTCATCGACAACCGACAACTGATTATTTTTCAAAGTAAGAAACTTCAACGATCGCAATTCTCCAAACGCGTTACTTTCAATTGTCTCGATCTGGTTGTACCCGAGCGTCAACATGCGGAGCCTACCCAAGCCCTGTATCGCGTTGCCCGGCAAGTGTTCGATGCTGTTATTACTTAAATCCAGACTGTACAACGAACCGATCGGTTGAAACGCCTTCGTAAACCACTTTTCGATCTTATTGTTAGTCAAATTTAAATTTCCCAAATTTTCCAGCTTGGTAAAAACGCCATCCGCGATTTCCCCGATTTCGTTACTTCCCAAATCCAGGTGTTCCAGTTCGCGTAGATGATCAAATTGGCTTGTGAGCGACTTTATCTCGTTATTGCTCAAGTATAGAACGTTCAAATTGATTAGACCCTTAAAAATACCCTCTTGCAGCTGATGAATTTTGTTATTCCGCAGTATCAGATTGGATAACCGTACTAGTCCCTTAAAGTTGCCTTGGTTCAGCTCAGTAATTGAGTTGTAACTCAAGTCTAGTTTCTTCAAGTTCCGGTTGAGTTGGAAGGGTTTTCCTTCTATTTTTTCTATGCGGTTGTGTGATAAAATTAGAGTCTTGAGGTCTGTGAGTTTCTTTAAGATGACCGCTGGAACGCTGGTGAGCGCGTTGATGGACAGATCCAGGTAGGATAATTCAGTGAACGCATTGAACACGTCGTCTTGTAAGTTGTCAATTTTGTTGTTTTGTAAATTGAGGGTTTGCAAGTTAGCTAAACTTTGAAATAATTCAACGTTAATTTCCGAAATTTGGTTTCCCTCTAAGCTTAGGGTTCTTAAAGCGTTTAAACTTTTGAAAATGTTCTTGTCTAATTCTGTAATGTTATTGTTGTGCAGTAAGAGCGTCTTCAGCTTTTTTTGGCAATGGAAGGAGTCTGCGTGTAATTTACTCAATTGGTTGCCATTCAAAGCGAGTAAAACAAGCGAGCAAAGATGATGGAATGCCTTCTCTTCGATAGCACTGATGTTGTTGTTATCTAATTTTAGTTTTTGCAAGTTGTGCATGTGACTGAACATATCTTGATCTAGTATTGGTATAAAATTGTTCCCCAAATTTAATTCGGTCACTTCGTTGGCTTCTGCCAGAAAATGTTGTGGAATTTTTGTAAGTTGGTTATTGGTCAAACTGATGCGAGCAATTTTAGTAAGATTTGTGAAATTGATGTCATCATCGTCACTTATGGTATTGTTGTCAAGGTAAATGGATTGTAAATGGTTTAGTTCGTTAAGTATATCGCTGCTCCATTTGTCTACATTGTTATCTTGGATGATAATCTTCTTTAAGTTTTGCAAACCAGCAAAGGTGTCGTTTGGTAACGTACTGATATTTGCGTACCTTATAGTAATTTCTTCAAAATTATGCGCAAATTTGATGTCGCCAAGTTTAAAGTCATCTGGTATCTCTCCTTGAATCTCAAACTGTTTGATTTGTTTACGTCTGAATCTCATTTGTGCTATTTCTTCAGGTATTTCCTTCCAGTTAGAAATATCTGTGCAGGTGAGTTTCTTGTTTTCGCAAAAGCAGTTTTGCGAAGAAGACGAAATCGTCGATGACAACACGAGAAGCACAAACATCAATTGAGAATCCATTTTTCCTTCAAAGAAAATTTAGCGTGCGAATTGAGTTTAATGACTTTCCACACACAGTTATCTATAAGTTATGTAACTAATAAAATGTGGTTATATATTTTTGGATTTGAAAAACTCACCTTTTGCAGCCAAATTTCCCTAAATTAACATTGATATTATGATCTGGATTTGAACATTTGCGTTAGGAACATAACTTAATGCTAGTTTTTATCATCAGTTAATCAATATCGTTTTTAAAAGCACTGATAACCTCCTACCTCTTATTGTATCTGATTTTTCTGCGAAGTTTGGGAGAACAAACTCCATAAACTTAAACAAAGGACGTGTTCACGATGACCTATTCCACTTTTGTGGCCAACTTAAATTTCGAAAACCTTAGAAATGGGGATTACCATATCAATTAAAAATTAGAGTCAATGTCAGTCAAAACAAAATAATCTATATCGTATATTGAATAATATTAATGTTAAAAGATTTACAGTTCTTGCAAAGTAGTGTTTAATTACTGATTAAATTAAATTATAAAACGTCGACGGCTATGCAATGCGGCTATTATAATTTTATCAATGAGGGACTAGGTAAAGAAAGAATACAGTCATGTTATAGCAAGCTTGCAATTTTTTACAATGTTATTTAGGGCCGCCAGGTAAACTTATCTGGTAGATAACCTCCAGTGTGATTGTTTCCATGGCAAAATTATCTGTCAGACAAAAAACCGTCTTAGTGTCTTTTATTTTACAGTGGTCGGAGTTTTAACTTTTAGCTACTCTCCTCACTACACAAACATCTATGTTTTGCTTGGGTTGCAAACCCGAGACCCTTATCTAAAGACATTGCCAATAATGGCAATCCGACTGAATGACGTAAGTCGACTGGGGTACAGATATCGAAATATGAAATTTGTCACTATATAATTTTGAGCTATTTTTTAGCGCATTTTTGAATCTCAAAAAGGAGCCTACCACCCGCACGTTAGTAAAGGAGGTATTGCATTTGTGTAAAAAATGACCTCTACTTTTTGACCCAAATACACGTGCACCAGGAATCCGAATCGAACTGATTGGAACCAAATTTTATACACATATCCTTAGAAAGAAAAAAATGAACTGAAAAGCTTTTGGACAGAACGCGCATGCGCAGTGTGTGGGTGGTATCTGCTAGCCACAGCAAATTTTTTAACTTGTTTCAGAATGTTGTTGCCTAATTTTGTGCTGCTTTTGCGATATTACACAAACGTTGGGTTATGTTTTTCACTTATACGTCAGTTTAGAATATCATTACACGGAAGTTTCTATAGAAGGCCTTATTCTGTGGTTTTTATGATGATTTGATTTGTATTTTGTGGGGTTACAGATTGTCAGTGTATTCGCATTGAAATATAAACGACTTAACTGGAAGGGAAACCGGAATAGGCGACAAATGCGTACCGTTGAAACCGTGCGACAGAATGAGGTGGTTGTATAACTATTTCACTCACTCTCATCGCGCCTAGTTTGTTTATTAGCATGCCTGATAGAAGCAGACGTTATGAATTTAAAGTGAAATAGAAAAATTATGTCAATGAATTTAATGTTACTAGTGTGAGAGAGATAAAGATTCCACCCCTCGTCTGGCTTCACTAATAATATGTTTGTTTCCCTTCCAGTTACGAGTATATAGTTCAATGGTTATCCGACTTTCCTAAAATGGTTTTTGTAAAAGTTGAAATTCTCTTAGCCGAGGGCATGCTTGAAATAAAATTGCAGCTTGTAGCATATCTGTCGCTTCAAACATTTCCGGAAAGATATTTCAATTTCGACATGTAAAACGGGCTTTAGCCAAGGATCATGTTTGAGGTTGATTTACCTTAGACCATATAGTACATGGACTGCTAATTGTAACAAAAATATGGTCAAGGACATCGCCTGGGTATGTGAGTTTCAGGGTAAACGAGCCTGTCCGAAGTTGTCCGATTAGATACGATGTGAGACTGTCAACCTATAAATTAACAAACGTCAATTAATTATTCGCTTAGATATGGCAAAAAAAGCAAACCTATTCTTATTTGTGGACGTATAGAAGATAATCAAGTGTATTTAAAGCTTCCTGTACTACGCGGTTACCATAAAAGCTACTATCTTTACGCGATGCGAGTTGTGTTCATACGACTTTAGTTTACCCTGAGATTCACATACCCACGACTACAGTGCCCTCTATCCGTGACCACCCATTTTGTATTGAAAGCATAGGGCTAATAGCAGTCCATGTACTATATGGTCTAAGTGATTTACACACTTACTAGGTAAGGAACTGTTGTGGTACTTCAGTGTGTTCAATGAAGTAGAAAAAAATGATACGAATGTAGAACTAAAAAGTATAAATTGTGCACAACTCGTGTGTGTGATTTAAAACCGAAGTAGCTTAGTAAATAGTTGGGTTAAGTATAATATATGCACATACAATAGACTGCTAACCAAGTAACTGCTTGCTTTTTCAACTTGACGCAACTTTAGTTCACTTGTTTCTGCTCAAAATTATTATAATAAAGACAAACTAAGTCTTCAACTAATCAAATTCGGGCAGAATAGCGTGAAGAAACGTACACTCTTTTCAACCGTCGTGAACCATCCAGCCTCGTTTTTCTTTGATTCCCAGTATTTAACGAAACAGCACTTCTACTATAAAAATCTTGCTCAAGATCTTTCGAAAACATCGCCACTAATTATTAGACTTGATAACGCCACTTGCGCGAAACTAATGCGGACATAGTTATACATAGTTATATCTTCTAACATCGTGCATTAATAAAATCTCGAGCAATAACAAAACTTCTTATCGCAAACGACCAGATGTGCCTACATTTTAACACACAATTTCACGTTGTATAATTAAATACACAAATCTAAGTAAACAATTTAAAAAAGCGATACATTTTAAACGAGAAAATAATACGCAATTACAAACAATTCTAAAAGGAATAATAGACACTGAGACATAAATTCAAGTAAAATAAAGCAATTTTGTGGTTATTCATAAATAATCTCTTGGATTTACACTGTTGTTTACGCAACAATACGATCGTCTTATTATGATAAGGAGTGATAAGGATCTTCATTATGTGTAAAATGCGTCCTAAACTGATCATTTTCAGGTATGTCATGGGGTGAAAGAGTGGACACACTGGCAACATTAGAAGCCCTCGTCGCACGACACCCTGGACGTGCTCTAGAGTTACACCAAAAACTCTCAAATCCGGCACGTAGCACCAGTCTCCAGGAAACATTAAGAAAGTACCAGGCCAAACAAGCGAGAGCGGAACAGCGTCGTCAACTGCTGCAGCAGGAGCGTAGCAATAAATTGCAAGCACTTTTAGCGAGGGTCGAGGATGTTAAGTGCGCAAAAATGCAGCTTATTGAGGAAAAGAGGCAACGGATGGAAATGAGGTGGGTATCCGTCCCGTGTTGTGTTATTTTTATTTGAATTGTGGTGTCGTAGAATGCAACGTGCGGCGCAAAATAGAAAGCGCCATTTGAAGGGCATCGTAAGAAAAGCACACGATGAAGAGGAGAAACTGAAAGAAATCGCATTTATTAATGAGCTGGAAGCAAAGAATAAGAGGTGAGTTAAATAGGTGGCAATTATCCGGTAACCTGTTGAACTTTCCAGACACGATTTCATGCAATTATGTCGCGAACAGAGAGGTAGGCTTCAAGGCATTCACGAAGATCGCCGCAAAAAGCAAGAGGAAAAGGCCGCCAAAGAAGCGGCGGTCGAAGAACGTAGACGTGCGTTGGAACGAGAGCGATTGGAAAGGTTAGATCGTCTCAAAGATGAGCGTAGGCTACGCGACGAGCGACAGCTTCAACAACAGCAGCAACGGGAGAGAGAAAGGCAGGAGCTAGCACGAGGCAAGGCGCGTGATCGAGAGGTAAGCGCAATTAGTCTTGGACACGATTTCAACGGCAACATTTTAGGAACGTTTGCAAGCCTTACAGGCGCAACAGTTGGCGTCAACGAAAGAATTGCAAAAAAGAATCGAGCAAAAACAGGAGGAATCGGCGCGTAGGCACGAGGAGAACATGGAACAAATTCGACAACGGGCTCTGGAGCTCTCAATTCATCGCTGCCATACTGATGATAACCAAGCGCCCAATAATGCCCTTTATCCCACTCAAAAGTTGTGTACAGTTTGCAATGTTCTGGTAAGCACTTGCACCGCCAGGCTTGTCTATTTAACACCTCAATATTTTAGATCAAGTCCGAAGTGTATCTAATGAGTCACTTACGCGGACGCAAGCATCAGGAGGTAGTGAAGCAAGCTAACTCGGGCGCAATAATTCAATCGACCAAAGAGTTGGAACAGTTCAATTTACAGCAGATTGTCGACGCGCCCTTAGATAAAGAAGATCCCAAAGAGATAGCAGCTAAAGAGAGAGGCAAGACTTACAAGAAGCGGTGTAAGAAACTGCGCCAGCGCATGCTCGCAAAAGGCGCGGAATACGAAAGTCAGTACAAACCATTAATAATCGAAAGCGCCAATAAGCACAGTTTAAATAGAAATGTACATACAATTAGCAGTATTACTAGTCAGGCCGTTCAAGGTTGGTCGCCTAACACCACCAGCTTATTAAATCGAATCTTGAACGAGCTAAATCGATTGCTCGTTAAGGGGCCGAAGGAAGACTTCATTGCATTCCAAAATGTGGGAGGTTTTTCCGGATTAGCGAAATTGTTTAGTTTAAGTCAAGACGCACATTCGCCTATACCCACCAAGTAAGTCTGTCAGCACATTAAACCATTGAGTAACCTCGTGTTTTAGAAGTCTCATTATTGCTGCCAATTTGTGGCAGACATCTTGTAAAGGGGTAAACGGTGTCAAAAACTGCGAACATGTAATTTTATCAAATAGGATAAGTGCTGTTATCGACTTGCTGAACGTTTCCTTGCAAGTAAGTACATTTCATTGCAGATATCTGTTTGGTTTTGGTTGCACATCGCACAGGTAAGTTTGATAGTTGTCTTACATTGCCGGCCCATGTGGCACAGTTCTGTGGGACTGCGGTACTAAGTGTCCTTGGTTCCCATCCAGGTTTGGGCATGGATATTTGTAAATGTAATGGTTGGGTTGGTAGAGCAGCCGTGGCTGAAACCCCGCCCACTCAAAAATAAAGGCAAAAATATAAAATTTGAATTTTTTGGTAACGCACATGTCAGTTTAATAACTGCAATGGTTACAGTAAAAATGCTCATAATTAATTTAATTATAACAACTGAAAAATCATAGAAGTGGGGTATACTTCTGTTGAGCGTAAGAGAATTAATTTAAATTATACATAAGCATTCGTAGATGGAATTAATGATCAACTTCATCTGCTCTACTCCATACTGGCAGACTATATAGTTTAGGCTTACCTCTAATTTAATTTATCAATCACGGTTTCATTTCTTTCCTGACAACTGTCACGACAACGTTGTGTTATTAACAAGGTAACTGCTCTGTAACTAATTGGATTTGCATCACCACTGCTGCGCGTTACCGTTTCAGATATTGAAATATACTCCCCGCCATTAGTAACTGAACAACTAGTGTACTTTGATCAATTTTGATGAAACTTTCAGGACAGTTGTATTTATTTCGAAATAAGAAACGATGAAAATTTGAACATTATGCAAATTAAAGTAACACTAATAATAAAGCTTCGCTGGATTTAACACGTGTAGGTTATGATAGGTTGGAGGCTAAATGCTTTACGACCATCTGTAAACACTTGTAAACAGTTTAGGTGATCTTCACAGACGTCTTTTAGAATCTTGTGTATGACAAGCTACCATCGTTAATTGGAATGTTGGGATTATGCGGCGGGATCGGCGCTATCCAGCTGATAACGGCGTAGACCTCCATGACCTTGCAGTTCCAATCTCGTTTTAATTTACCATAGGAAACAAAAATATGGCTGAAATTCTAAAATATTAACTTCGCCCTCTTCTTCTAAATGACAATTGCTTTCGTACGCAACAAAACCCACTGAAATATCTGGACGGGAACGGTTGCAAACGGCGGGGGGATTAACTGCAGCGTTAATTACGGTAGCGGCGGCTGAAACACAACTTTAGAAATTAAATCATTTCCTTTAGCTTCTCCTAGACCCAACACAAATACTTTCGGCGCGACACTTACGTAACGGAGCGCCTCTTTATACCGGGCGTTCAACAGAGTCATCTTCAAGACGTGAAAACTGGGCGCTTTGTTACATCCTTAAATGACAATGGGGTCATCCCGCCTTCATTTTATATTTCTGATCCACAAAGTACATTAAAAATAAAAAGACCCGTGTGTCCTCAATTTTTATTTGCGAGTAAAATAAACCCAAAATAAATTATTGAAAAGCTGTGTTTTTAGTCCGAATTTGAAACGCTTCAGACTAAATACGTCACAAACCTACAACCAATCACGTAGAAGTGAGCAGGCAACCTTACGCGAGGGTCTGACGTTTGTCACATTTGACGTTTTGAGTGGGATGTTTAACTGCATCTAGCACGAAAGTGACAAGTGCCTGTGACAGATGACGCAAGTTATAAATGCCAGTCTCCTGCAATATTGCCAAGTCGTTATGTCATCTGAATGGTTCTAGGAACTGATTGGTCGGGCTTATTACGTCACAGAGCCCGCCACCATCATATCGTTTTGAATAAACCTTTAAAACCGCACATGTTCATTATTTTTTTGCTAATCAGCCTCTATTTTTAAATAAACTTTTACTGTCCAAAAAAATGTTTTATGGTTTCAGGTACACGCTTATTAAATTAGAACTGCGGAATTCAACTACACTGTAAACCCCCATTATAGTAAAATATGTCTTATTTAAGATAAAATTGACGTATTGGGGGATTTTTTCATAAACTTTTTCTAAAAGATTAGTTGCTTACTTACTATCCAGCTCCGCAACTCTCGAGCGGCGCCTTTGATCTGGCGGTCTACAACCAAGCGAGGTGGAATGGTGCGCACTTTCTCGCACTTGGGGTAAAAGTCGGGGCCGGATTAAACGAATTTTCATCGCACGGTCGCTTCACAGTACCGTAGTAGGTGATTTTTGTGCTGTATTGTAATGTGAACGTTTAGAATTTGCTGTACAATATTACGTAATATGGCAATGAAAGTAGGGTTAGGTGTTTAATAAATTTTATTGCCTAATTGAATTGAATTCGGGAAAATGGCCAACGTGGCAACACTGGGCAGGATCTTGGAACTGTTTGAAATTATGGATTCTAAAGGCCACATTCTATAAGCCAATTTTTTCTCCGGGTCGATCTGAGACAATTTTTTCTTCGGGGCTCAAAAAAAGGCAGTGTATAACCTTCCTTTTTTACCAAAAATCGACTATACCAAAATTTCTCGGGAAAACATTTTTTCTTATTAATTTTGGTGCGTAGAATCCAAAACAATTCGTACTTTTTCGATTAGACTTCTCAATCAAAAGGTACTAAGGACGACTTAAATAACTATCGTCCTATCTCCATTATCCCAGTATTCGGTAAAATATTTGAAACCGTACTGAAGACTAGGTTGTCATCATATCTAGAAGATAATGATTTGCTAAACCCTAGTCAGTATGGCTTCAGGAAAAACCGCTCCACTACCAAGGCGGTGCTCAAATTGATGCAACAACTGGTGAAAAATTTGGACGATGGAAGAATCTCTCAAATCACACTATTTGATTTATCGAAAGCCTTCGATTGTGTCCCGCATGATCTCCTTGTGGCGAAATTGGAGTATTACGGATTAAGTGGCACCTCGCTAAAGCTCTTTAAGTCATATCTTGAAGAACGACAGAATAGCGTGTGTATTAAAGGCGTCTATTCAAACTGCAGTACAATAAAGGCGGGGGTGCCGCAGGGCTCAGTGCTTGGGTCAATCTTGTTCATCACCTTCATTAATGATTTCTACTACACCATGTTACCTAATACTTGCGTTTTATTTGCCGATGACACAATATTGCTATCATCAGCTAATTGTAACCTCTTAACACTTCATTACTGAAGGGTGACAATGTAACGCTACTTTCATCTACCATTTTTCTCATTAGAAATCTAAAACGCATTGTCAGCCCTCATTTACTTAAGATGGCATATTTTTCCCTATTTCACTCACAAATAAGCTATGCTGTACAGGTCTGGGGGAACTCTGCTCATGCTACGAAAATTTTTCGCCTACAAAAAAGGGTGGTTCGCATTATAGCTCGCAAACCGTGTAGAGCGCACTGCCGTCCATTGTTTATTTCATTATCAGTGCTGTCATTGCCTTCTCTATATATTCTGGCTTCTTTGGTGGACATTCATTCGACTCTTGAATCCTACGAGCTAAATTCTGACATTCACGACTACAACACCAGAGCCAGAGGGACGTTGCGATTACCCCGACATCGCATCAAGATGTCTGATATGAATGGAGTGAACTTGAAACTCTACAACCACCTACCGGATAATGTCAAAGCACTCGACAATAGACAATTTAAAATCAAAGTTAAGCGTTTCCTTACCAGTAAAGCGTTATATTCAGTTAATGAATTTTTAAGCACACAAATATCACCGACAGACATATTATAAACTTTGTAAGCTTACATGTATGTACCTACCTAAAATACTATTTATGTATATGTTAAATGTAAAGTCATTATATCGTATAATGTATATTTATGTTGTATGTTACTTTGTATGTTACTTTTATATGTTATGCTTGACGTGCCACAAACACATCTACCAGATATGTAACGTGGTAAATAATAATAAAATAAATGATTGCACGCCAAACAGGCAATGCAGTCTTTTACCCCAAGAGGCGGGGCATAAACGCTGCGCGCGTAGATCGGCGCAAACCGCTCCCGCCAAGAGAGTTGTGCAACTGGATAGTAAATAAGCTGTGCTTGCACTGTATGTGCACAGGAAATAAACATTATTATAAAAACAAAAACGAAACCACGAAGTGAACTGTAATTGTTAGTTCTAAGATGACTGGTTCAGAAGATGGTTACATTAGGTGCACTGCATTTTTATGTCATAATGTTATAAGCTTCCAATATTAATGGGCACAGTAATGACGTCAGAGATGTCAAATTCAACACCTTGCCAAATAATACTATAGTGGAATGCACATTCAGATGACAGTACTTACCCTTGGTACTCATTTGGTACTTACAGGCATAGGATACAGTGACAGTGGCCACCAAGGTGGATTCATAAACGGCACTCCGACTGTTTTATACAGGGTGGTGCGTAGCGCAACGCAGCATAGGGATTTCAATGGTAATTTCTTTATAGTCAATTACTAGCTCCCCTAGTTATTTTAGAGCAAAAGTCTAAATACGTTTTTTTTTAGAGAAAACAATACTGCATCTGTTCATACTTTTAGTTATAATTTTCCATTTTTCAAAACTGTAGAAATCGACAAAATAAAAAATTACATTTTTATAAATCAGTGATGCTTTGAAATCTTTAAACAAACTACTAGCGCATCGCATCTAAGTTATCGTTGTTTGACGTCGAACGATTTTCATATTTAATTTTGTTTCAACTAACCCACGCAATAAAAGGCATCTTAGGGTAATGTTTTTTTAGAGAATGTATGATGCATCTGCATCAGATAGGTACTATTTGTTTATCAGAGAGAATCAGAGTACGTACATAATCAAAGAAAAAAAACTGATTTGAAGAAGATTTGTTCCTAAACTTATATTCGGGTTTTCCGCTACTGCAGCCAAAACGTTGACTGTATTGTCGTTTTCCTGATGGTTTTGACGGACATTTTGAATGTTATTGCACTTGCAGTTCTTTAACTAATTAATAAACAAGTATAACTTTAAAATACGTCAAAGGCAAATAATGAAACGTGATCGCTGTTGGTTTAGGTAATTCCAAGGCATATTTGATTTATTGTAAAATGAACCTTTTTATT